ATTCATGTTTAGGTTCATGTTAAGTCAGTCATATTAACATGTTATAACTTTTCATGTGTCACACATCACATAACTCAATCATTTAAGCAAATAATTATCTTATTATTTAAGCTTTGGATACAATCACTACAGAGTGAGCACTCACTTCTCAGTTATCATTACTAGTCAAAAGTGAGTTCTTAACTATCATTACTAGCTTAGATTAAGTACACTCTTCTCATATTTCACTGCTAGGTTATGATGAGCACCCACTTTTTAGCTATTACCACTAGCTTGAAGTTAAGTTTGTTTAGCTATCAATTCTAGTAGTTCATAGTTTTAGTACACTTATCTAAGTAGTCTACCTTGGTAGTAGAGTAATTTGTTTTGAAGAATATTCTTCAAAAACTACTACTTTATAAGTAGTATTATTCCCTCCTACATGAGCAGATATGATGAATAGCTCAAATAGCTTATGGTTAAAATAGCTACTCATCACCCTCGTGTTTTTTACTATCAAGTTGAGAGCTAGAACCAACTAACAGATTTTCCATCTTCCTCTTAGGTTCTGTGCACTTGTAGCTCGCCTAGTGTGGTAGCCTGTTAGTGCCTTTTGCACCCGTCCACGACACACTCACCTACAAGGTTGTCACATTTTAGGTCCACTCTAACCTTTCATAGGAGTAGGATCTGCAACCTTAAATAGACACCCTCACACTTTTAAGAATTTATAGAAAGGTTTTCAACCTTTTCATAATTCATATGATGTCACATTTCTAAGGTTTCATCTTTGCTTCGTGGCAAATACACATAACGGTATCTTGTGCAACCAATGATAAAAGTAACGAAGTACTTTGTTCCACCTCTAGTTGGTACATGTTTAAGGTAATGTCATATACTTCATAATATCATATTACAAAATTAAATAATTTAACCAATATTGAATAATTCAATAATCTACTTATATAACATGCTTCAATTTCACATAATATTGAATGCATAAATATTTAACATATTATCATATAATAATGTATATAACATTATTTTATCATATCTCAACTATTAGTATAATATCTACTTGTTTATATCTTAAATAGAAACATATAATAAAATCTACGCAAGGAAAAATTCTGTCTTAAGATTGTTGGAAAAATATATGCTTCATGTGATATTTAAGATATAACAAATCTTATACTAATATGTCATTAGATAATTAACAATATGTTAAGAAATCATTAATTAAATATGCAACTCTATATTTAATTAAATATGCAAAATAAATTAATAAAATCATAATAATCAATAAAGAACCTGGACCGAGGCTAGTATTGAATACTATGTCCTTAAGACAGATTCGCCCCGCTATGGTGCTAACGGACTCAGTGGCGTCTATCTCCCAGGATACAACGGTCTACATCCACCAGTAGCAGCACTACAAACTCGTGGATACGGCGAACCTCCTCCGTTAGGGTCGAAGTGGCTCGAACCACTTAACCTATGGTTTGAATCCTCTTGGGTTGGGTTCCAGTCTAGAGAGGGAGATAGAAGAAAATGAAAATGAATGACTTGCAAATGATCCAAAGGGGGGTATTTATAGAAATAGAAATGCCTTTTCGGATGGGGTGCGTCTTTTCATCATTGGACACAACCATTGCAATGGTTCACATGGTGTCTATTCACCATTAGACACATCCATTCCAATAGGTTGCAATGGTTCACATGGTGTCTGTTCACCAATAGACACATCCATTCCAATAGGTTGCAATGGTTCACATGGTGTCTGTTCACCAATAGACACATCCATTCCAATAGGTTACAATGTGCCTTTTCGAGTGGGTGCAACTATAGGTTATGATGGTTCGGAAAAAGGTGTAACCCTTTGGAAAAAACTAAAAGTGGTTTTTTAATTTAAAAGGTGTAACCCTTTAGAAAAAACTAAAATATGGTTTTTTAATTTAAAAGGTGTAACCTTTTAGAAAAACTAAAAAGTAGTTTTTTTAATTTAAAAAACCAACCACCCAAAAACCCTACTCATTTGTGAAACCCATTTAAATAAGCCCAGCCCAAAATTAGGCCCAATCCAAAATTCCAAAAAAAAAAAAAGAATAATCTGGACTTTACAATTAGGCCCAAGCCCAAGCCCAAATCCTAAACTCAGCTTATTTAAATTTCAATTTGTTTCAACATTTTTTCCATGTGGGACAAACACTTCCCACATTTTGCATACCCATTTAGGCTTATCAAAACACTACACTTTGGAGCTAATTTCTCATTCATCCGGAAATGGATTTCAGAAAGTAAATATACCACGTTCATCTCCTTGCGGAGAGAAACGCGCTTGTCTAGAGATCCGTAAAAAATTATTAGCGGAATCTATTTCAAATCTCATCCAAAGTTTATGTTTTTAATGCCCCCGTTTCCAACAATTGCATCTTTATAGCCCATCCTATCAAAAACCAAGCGAGCTTCCCTCATACTCCCACATTTTGCATACATGTCCAAAACAGCATTATTCACATATACATTATCACCATCCTTGCCCAACCCATTAATATTCATGTATCCATGTATTTCTTTACCTTGCATCAATGTCGCCAAATGAGAGCAAGCTGGAAGGATGGTTGTGACTGTGACCAAATCAGGCTGAAATCCAGACCTTAACATCCTTACAAAAAGCTTTAGGGTTCCATCATGATCTCCAAACTGTTCATGAACACATATAATAAAGTTCCATGAAAATATATCCTTCTCAACCATCGTGTTGAAAATCCCCAATGAATCTTCAACAAATTTGCATTTTCCATACATATCAATCAAGGCATTTGAAACTGCAATGCCTGAATGATACCCTCTTTTCACTACCAACCCATGAACTGCCTTCCCGTTATTTAGGACCTCCACCATGGCAAAAACGGACAAGACCCCAGTAACTGTGAATCTACTTGGAACAATTCTTTCTTCACCCATCCTCCTAAAAACCTCCAAAGCCATATCAAATTGCCCCATCTGTGCATACCCATTAATCATTGCATTCCAAAGTACTACATCTCTAACGGGTAATTCTTCAAACACCTCTACTGCCTCTTCCATGAACCCAAATTTCCAATACGCATGAAACAAAGCACTTCCTATAAATAATTAAAATCCAACCCAAGTTTAATCAACAACCCATGAATCTTCCTAACCCCTAAAACATCTAAAACATCCGAACAAGCTCTAACTACACATGGAAATGTAAATTTATCCGGCACAGCACCAGTGCACCGCAATCTACAATAAAAATCAATTGCGGGTTTTGGTAACTCATTGGCGATGAACCCAGCAATGATTGCATTATAAGCGAACACGTTGTGATCATGGGTCGATGAATCAAATACTAATAAGGCTTCGGCGATGCGATTACACTTGGAATACATGTTGATTAGGCTCGTGATGGGAAATGGGGAGCTGAGGAAGCCATTGATGAGCATGTAGGAGTGGAGTTTTTTGCCTGCTGTGAGGTTCCTGTGGTGGGCACATGCTTGCAGTGATGCAATGCAGGTCCTGAGGTCGGCGAGACATGAGGAAGATTGAGCTGTGGAAGATGTGGATGAGAATTTGAGAAGTATATGGAAATGGGTATTGATTGGTGTTCTTGTAAAGATTGCTCTTTTGATCATTTAACGTGAAGTGAAGCATGTGCATTTGGGTTTTGCTTCAGATGGCTGTCTGAATCTTCGTGTCCAATATGCTCCGAGGACGATGAGAGGGAGAGAGCAGTTCAATATGTGTGGGGCCGGAATCTCTGCTGTGTATAATTTGTCACACGTTACATTTTATTTTCAACATGGTAAGTCAGTTTTTAATGCATTACATTTTGATGAAAAAAAAAAAAAAAAGGTCAATATAAATATTGCGTTAAAAATATATGTAAAGACCTTTAAAAATATATGAAGCCCAGCAATTAGAGTGCTTTCCGTTGTTCTCGGACCGATATCAAGCCTTTCAACCTTCAATTTCTAATCTAATATGTTTGCTCTAAAAAAAAAAAAAACATTTCAATATATATAATGATGTTAAAATTCACTTAAGAGTTCAAAAAATTTGTAGATTTTTTACTCGCTATATTTTGACCCAACACTTTTTTGTATAAGGACTCATTTTCAATTCAATGGTATCGTAAACTTTTAGTTTTATATTTTAATATAATATATTGCATAATTATTATATTACTAAATATATTTTTCTCATTATTATTATTAATCTATTAAGAAACTAACCCTCATATATCTCCTATTTAAAAACTTGAACCCCAACATTTTATTTTGAAATGTAAGAAAGGACAAATTAGAGCCCTTGATTCTCGTAAATATAATTTTCTAACTCTTATTTGCATATTACATTATTACTATGTGATTAGTAATTACTATAATTAATAAATTAAAAAATTAGAAGTAATTTTTTATTTTTTAGTTATTAAAGTTAAATTTAAGTAGAGTTTGATACTCTGTGCAAGATAACTTAATCATTTTAAAATTATATTTTTTAGTTATTAAGCTAAATTCGTGGAACCTACTAATTTAATACAAAATAATTTGATTTAATTTAAACAGTTCAATTTTCAATTTTGTTATAACAGTTAAAAATTTAATTTAGTTCTTGTTTATCTTTTAAATAAAACAAAATCAAATGGCGGAGTAAAAGTAGCAAATTTTTTCTCACTTATAATTTTCTTGTCCATTAAAGAAAAAACATACGGAGTAAAAGTAGCAAATTGTGAGATTGGAGACGCATTTAATGGGAAAATTTTTATAAGGTACTCTCACATGCCTCACGTCTGAACTCTTTAGCATTATCATTTTCATTGATGTAAGAATTAGCGGACCCCACTTCACGGGGTCCACCAATCATCACCGTTCGATTAAGATAATGTTACAGTAAATCATCGCCACGTGTTCAAAGTGGCCACTAAGTTCCTCGATTTATCTGCACCCGCAAGTTGTAAATATCTTCTCAAATACGAAGAAGCTTTAGAGAGGGAGATAAAATGATCTACTCCTACATTTTTTAAACAAATAACAACCAAGTTGTCGTTGTGGCGAAGGAACGGTTTGCTCTCTCTCCACTCTCTCTCTCTCTCTCTACTTTATTCTCTTCATTTTAGACAGGGAGCTTCAATGGCGGGCAAGCTATCGAATTGCTTCTTGAATCATGGATTGACGGACCTAAACTGTAGAAACTCCAACGTGCGATTTTACATCTCTCGATCACCTCATTGCCGTTTGCTTCCTGCATCTTGTAAGATGCGGCAGCGTAATCTCAGGTACTCTTTTTATTTATTTATTTATTTTTTTTATCACTACGTAGTCATTGATTTCATTAAAAATTTCTTCAGAACCAATCACTAATGTCACACGCATTTCTTGACATTTCGAGTGTTTTTTGGTCCATTTTGAAGTTAAACTCTTCAATGTAATTGAACTTTTGCTGTTTGGCAACTTGGATTTGGTTGATTTTATTATTTTTGTGTATGAATCAAATTAGGGGCTATGTGTTTGAACTTGAATTCAATTAGATGTTTTGTTCTTTCTTGGGGTTTCGTTTTGGTCTTGCAAATTTGTCCAATTTCATCTCTGTTGTTTTGTTATAAATTAGGTTGATTGAGATCAATCAATATATGGTGAATGATTTTTCTTATGGCATGCTTATATTTCACATTACTCTCAGTTTATACTGCGTGCTTTACCAAAAACTAAGCATTTGTTTACTTTTTCATTGTTTACGAATTTGCATTATCAAATATTGCCCCTGTATTCACATCTGGTTCACAGTACAAATTTTCCCTTTTAACATACTGATGGATGATGATTCACCGATGATGATGAAAAATAGCCCATCACCAGAAAGGAAGTAATCAATTGTATGAAAACGGCCGAGTTAATTTTGGTTTGATTTGGATCTGGCATTCGAGTTTATCAAAAAGATATGACCACCGAATATTGAATTTGGATTTTTGCAATTCTGAGGCTTCTGAGTTATGATTATTGAAAAGAAAATTTTGGAACTTCATAATTATTCAAAAAAATTGAACCTTTTAACAGGCAATCTTGAAGTTCCAGCTGGCTTAAGTTGGTAGCTTGAGAGACTATTAAAGGGGTGTCTCTTCCCTGCCTATCCAGCTTTCATGCCTTAAGTTTTTGCTTAGGGTTAAAGTGCTTTGACCAAAGATGCACACAGGAAATAATACTAAAGTGCGTTACAACTTTCAATAGGTAATTGCAGTATTGAGATAAATTTTGACTTTCCTATAAGTTTTCATTTCTATGGAGAGGTAATGATTGGTTATTGGATCACTTTGCTTCCCCAGTATAATGTCCTAATGCATGATGCCCATGCAATAAGGGTATTGAGTTGTTGACACAGTGTAAGTGTGTGATATGAGTCGGGATGGAAAAAAAAAGGTGATCTTAACGTAAAATGAATGCCAACAAGGTAATTGGCTATTGAAATATTTTTGATGCTTGTGTATAGTATGGCTGAAGCCTGAAGGTGCGATTGCTTGGGACATTGATAAAAGCTCGGGCTGTCTTTAGCCCTCTCCTCTAAACACCTCTCATAAGCAGGACCTGCATTAGGATGGTGTACAGTATGGCAGGAAAAGCTATATAGGAGCATATCAATTTCACGCTGAACAAGTGTGAAACCCCTCATCCAGTAAGTTATGTTTTTCAGGCCGTCTTTTCTCAAAGAGGGATAGTGAGAAGAAGGTCACATCTATAATTTGGATAAATCCGAAAATATTGCAGTGGTCTTAGAGAGATATTACACTACTTTTCTCAAAGTGCGGGTGAATAGAGTCTTTTAGGCAAGCTCGGAAACTTTTCTCAAGGCTTGGACTAAGGCTGGCTAAACAACAACAGAGTCTGTCTAAGGGTTGTTTGTGTGGCTGCTAAGGGTGAACTGGGTGTTTTGTTATCTATCTCAAGGCCGAGTATGAAGATGAAAATCAAAGTGTGCTAGCTGGACTAAACAGAATGGTCTATGCTGTGCAAGCAGATTGGAAATAAAAGAAGGCACATGACAGAGATTGCAAATCACAACAAATAAGGAGTTTAAGGGATAGAGAAATTGCAAACAGTCAACACAACGATTTACAAGGTTCGACACCGGCCTACTCCTTGTCTTTAGGATAGCCTCCTGAGGATTCACAAATGTCACTATCTTCTTCTCTTTACCTGGTAGAGAAGAAACCTTTACACTGGTCCTTTTCACAGTCTTAAGACCAACCTTCTCTTTTCACACGCTCAGAGATAATCTTTACTTGCTGAGGATCAGCACTCTCTCAGACTTCTGAAGATCTCACAGACCTTCGGTTAGAGTAATGGATGAAGCAAATGATCTAATCAACTTCTACAACATGATTTCTAAAGACTTCTGCTGAATATTTAGTGAAGAGCTGAAATTTTGTTTTCCTTCTTTTCTCTCTAAGCTTTTTCAAAAGATATTGAGTGAAAGTTTAAAAAGCCTTTTCACAAATTCTCTCAATAGATTTCTACAGTGATTCGTGATACTCAGATGAATAAGGAAATTCTTTTATAGTCTGAGTGAAGATTATAGCCGTTAGATAGTTTTGAGACTATTTGGTAACAGGTGTAAATGGAGCGTGTAAAACATTCAGCTTATAAGCCTGTTCCAGTACACTAAGTTGTCTGTTGCATGTTGAGCAAATGTCTTGCTGGACTATCTGAGAGCATTTTCATGTTCCAGCTGTTAGCCAGTTCAGCAAAGGAGAGCGTCTCTTTAGTAGTGCTGCCAAATGTCCTATTGCCCGTGCAATGTACTATTGATCTTATCCTTTAAGCTCGACCATGTCACTGGATAAGGGCGACTTGTACAAACAAGAAAATGTCTATTTTCACTTTATTTTGAATTAAAGCATTCTGCCTCCATAAAGTGAAATACCAGGTGACCACCCTTAATGACTACAATGCCCTTGCTTATTGCAACATAACCAATCCGTTACATTGATTTTAACAGTCACTAAACCAAAGCCCCATGGTCTTGAACTTGATCTTTAATAAATGTAGTTCCTTCGCCATGTGTTGGGTCCAGCTGTAAGCTTGTGTCCATGAGCTTGAATTAAATATATTCTTGATGCACCATCCATGGATCAACTTAATAATTGAGATTTATTAATATTCCTGAAATTCGTTACACTCAAGTAGGCTGTTAAGTACTCTCATTAATAGTTTGTTATCATCAAAATCATCAAGTTTCACTTCGGATGAAACCTGGGGCTAACAGTTTACTCTTTTAGGCTTTGAAGAATTTGAGAATACTTGACTGGGGTGCATTTTCTTATCTATTTATGTTTTTCACCTTTTCCCTTTTGGATAGAATCCTTAGTTACATGACTGTGTTCAAACTAAAATACAATCATAGTATTACCTGTTTGGATATCAAGTAATGTGGCTCATTAGCCATAGCTATGGGGTTCCTCAAGGCTCCCACGAGATACAAAAAAATTAAAATTTGCATTCTTATTAATGAAAAACTTGATCTACAAATAATCCACATAATAGGCAAGCATAAAACATTTTTCGTTTTTTATTTATGAACTTAAATTCTCAAATGATAAAAAGTTGACTACTTGACTACCATTATATTTGTTTCTATTCGGGCTTCATTGTTTCAATTAAAGTCGAAAAGGAGTGTGTATGCATATATACATATGTAGTGTAGTTATGAGTAAATATGGAATGCTATCGACGCATTTAGATAGTGTATAGTGTCTTGGATTCCTATTTCTGAAGCGTATTTCTCCTCTAGGAAATGGATTTCCGGAGAACTAATGAGTTTTCATCTGGATAGCTATTGAATTTTTCTGCCAAAGGTGCTGTTTGATAAAACTGAAAATTTCAAGTACTGAATTTTAAGCGCTGAAATTTTAAGTGCTGAATATATTAATCTGTAAACTTGTTTGATATTATATTAACTTTAAGCGCTGAATTCATTAAGATTGTTTGTAAATGCAAAAGATGAAATTTGAATGTTGTATATATTACATTTTTGCATTGAATATCTTCTACACATAATATTATTATAAAAGATACTATATTAAAACATAAACATATATATATAAAATAATGAATTTCACCAAAGAAATATATCAATTTAACCATGGATATTAATGTCAAAACTGATCATAAAAATTTCAAAATCAACATATAAAATGAATAACTTATGAAAATGAAATATTTATGAGAAAGAGATTAGAATTCACGCACAAATCATTCGATTTTTATTTATATAGTAGATTTGCATCATAAAAATGGTGTGAGGATTTCATTGCATGATTGTTGATTATAAACTTGAGTGAATCATAAAATATATATATATATATATATGTATAATTTTTTTTGTTGAATATTATTTATATTTACATTATTTGAGAAGAAAAGTACAATGAAACATTTGAGAAATTGGAGTAAACTAAAAGTAAAAATTCACCAGCAGGGAATAGAAATGCAAAGTGGAAATAGAAAGTTCATCAATACGTTTAATTTCAAGATTACCATCAATACGTTTAATTTCAAGAGTAGAACAAGTGATGGAGAACCTAAAAATATAATATTTGAGGGTAACATTGTCATTAACAAAATATTTTAAAACCTAAAATCACTTACCGATCTTCTGCAATAAGCGTTAAGCAAGTTCCGTGTCGCTTAAAATTTTGGCTTGTTTTAAGCTACTGCGTAATATTTTAAGTGGTAACCTAAATGTTATCAAACATGCTAATTTTAAAAATTTGCTTACCGTGTTTTGTGTTAAGCGCTGAATATCGATATTAAACAGGACCAAAGATAATAAATTGCATGTTAAATATGAGACTAGTTGAACTTTATTGAACTGTAGTACTGACACCACCCAACCTTTTTTTTTTTTACTTTTTTCATAAAAAGAAAGATAGTCTCTACCTCAAAGATTTCTTGCACATAAGATTTCTTGCACATAGACTTATGTGCTTGGATTACTGAAATGTTACCTTGCTTTTTACCCTTTCTCTTGATTACTTTTTGATTATTTTATTGAATATGAGAGCAGTTGGATCATCGTCATATTGCCTTCCTTTTATATATATATTTTTATTTATATATTTTTTTCTTCATCTTTTTTTGATATATATCTGCATTTGATAGAAGTTTCATTCCTATATTTGTATGGAGTAGTCATACCTTATGCTCTCCAAATTTGAATTTGTGCAGTTCACAACATAAGAGACAGCAAACAAAGAAAGTGTCTCCTGAACGGCTTTCAACAAATGAAGAATTTCAGCCTCATGGAGATGAAGACTCTGAATCAGAAAATTCTTCAATGGAAAGTATTTTGAGGCTAGATCATCAAACCATATCTAATGAAGATGTTGATACCACTGTGGCTTCTGAGGATTCAAGTGAGGAAGATTTGAAATGTCTGACTCTGTTGAACAAGATTGAATCTTCGGTATACGTTTAATAACCTCGTAGTCTACAATGAGAAAGTATATGAATACAGTTTGGTGCTCCTTTTTTTGTTATTCTTACACTTTCGATGTATATTTTGTCTGCAATGGCCAAACCAAATCTCACAAGAAATAAAGCATCTCAAGCATTCCCTAAATGGCAACTAATTATTCTAAACTTTGGAGATTAACTCCACTGAACCCAACTGAAAAGTCATCCCAACCATTTGGGGTTAACCTGAGGTATGAATATAAATTTTAATATGAGGCACATTCTACCCTTAAATTTTTACCGATAATAAATATAATGTTCAGTTCTACCACGGAGAACTTTTATTAATTTTTACTTTATAAGTGATCTGATTGATATATGAGTCGGGAGATATGAAACTGAAGGATACACTTCTTTTTCGAGGGTTTCTCTTTTTACTTTTAGATTTTTCTGTTTTTTATTCATGTTCTGAACTGGATAAATTTTATATGAGTTGTACTAGATAAATGCAAATCCCTTCTTAATTTATTGCAAAATAAAATAGTTACATTTATGATTTTCAAGTTTAGATTTTAATTGACAAATGCCATTCTTCTCTCTCTCTCTCCACCTCTTGTCTTCGTTCATCTAAACGAGAAAAGAATTAGAGATGTATCGGGAGAATGATCATCATCTTTTTAACAGTCCATGGATGCAGATGGTAGAGATCAGCTCTCAAGTGTTCATCTTCAGGATTTGATATTCATGATAAAAAATGCAGAGAAAAGTAGGACTTCTCCTCCTTAAAGTTTAATTCATTTTTACACTATATCATATTTTATTTTATTTGTTAACTTACAGAGGTATATTTAACTGTATTTTACTTCTTCTTTTTGTCATACGATAGATATCCTTCTTCTCAACCAAGCTCGGGTTCGTGCACTTGGAGATCTTGAAAATATTCTTAATGAGAAGCAGGTGTTGCAAGGAGAAATCAACATTTTGGAGATGAGACTGGCAGAAACTGATGCAAGGATTAAAGTGGCTGCCCAAGAAAAGATACATGTTGAACACCTGGAAGACCAGATGGAGGAGCTGCAAAACAAACTTAATAGGGGTGGTGGGGGGAGTGTGCATGATGTAGTTCCTCTTTCACTTAATAGTAGCAATCAATCTCTTAGTGAGGAACTTAATTCATTGAGGACAGAAAATATGTCACTGAAGGATGATATACAAGCACTGAAAACTGAACTTGTTAATGTCAAGGGAACGGATGAACGCGTTGTAATGCTGGAGAAAGAACGTTTACTTTTGGAATCTGCTGTAAGGGAGTTGGAGTTCAAATTTACTGTTTCTGAGAAAGAAATTTATAAACTTTCTAATCTGAAATCCGAATGTAAGAACTTATGGGAAAAGGTAGATGATATGCAAGTACTGCTAGATAAGGCAACCAAACAGGCAGATGAAGCTATTTTAGCATTGCAACAAAACCAGGAGCTCCGGAAGAAGGTTGATAGGTTAGAAGAATCTCTTGAAGAGGCTAATGTCTATAAGCTTTCGTCGGAGAAGTTGCAACAATATAATGAACTAATGCATCAGAAGATAAAACTACTGGAAGAGCATCTTCAAAGGTCTGATGAAGAGATAAGTTCTTATGTTCAGTTATACAAAGAATCTGTGAAGGAATTTCAAGATGCACTTAATAGTTTGAAGGAAGAAAGCAAGAGAAGAGCACCAGATGAACCTGTGAATGATATGCCTAGGGAATTTTGGAGTCGTTTACTGCTTATAATTGATGGTTGGTTACTTGAAAAGAAAGTATCAACCAACGATGCAAAGTTGTTGAGAGAAATGATCTGGAAGAGAGATGGACGTATTCGTGATGCATACATGACATGCAGAAAAATGAACGAGCATGAAGCTATTGATGCATTTCTCAGACTGACATCAGCATCAACACGGTATTAGTTTATAGAAAAAAAAATTGCATTTCTAAGGACATTGCTACCGACACCATACAATTTATGGGTACAAATTTCTGTGCATATATGCTGTTTTTAACTTGTGCTTCTTGTTGATTTTTAGTCCAGGATTGCATGTTATTCATATTGCAGCCGAGATGGCACCAGTTGCTAAGGTGAACTTTAACTTGAAGTCCGATCATTTTAGCTTTCTTTGCTTTATTACTATTAACTTATATGACTCGAGTCATCTTTGTTTTATTTTAGATTGCTCAATGTTTGGTATGTGTTGATGCCAGATTTATGTATGAAATGTGGTTAGCATTGTAAAATTTCTCAATCTTGTTTATACATATATATATATATGTTAGAGAATATTTCTAAATGCATACCAATCGACTGATCAAACAGAATTATTTATCAATGTAATTTCAGCCTTTTTATCAGACGGAATGGTCACAGACCGGGCAACGTAACCCCACAAGCTTTTGCCCTGTAGAAATTTTTTCATTACATATGACCAATACACATAATTTTCACCAGTCAATTTCACACTAACAGCTTGGAGAGAGTCTGTATTACCACTAGCCATCTTAAAGAAATAGTCAATCAATAACCTGTATTATCACTACCCAAAAGTCAATGTAAACAGGTTCCAAAAAGACCACTGATGTTCTACTATTATGCAAAGGTCCCAAAGCTGCAAGGTCCTGATGCAAACAGTGAGTCGCTGTAGAAGAAGATGCAAGATTGTGATGCAGATGATGAGTTGAAACAGCGTAATGAAGAAGTCCAAAATTGAAGTTGTGCAAAATCAAACTGAAAGAGAATCGATGATCAGACATGAACCAAGTCAAATGGTGCCATAGAAGTAATAGAACTCTTATTAAAAGGCTCTGCAGAATATTTAGTTAGTTTGCATCCACTACAATCAGAAATGTCATGACTATGTAAATTACCCAAAACACCAGTAGAAACTAAAACTGTAAACGAGAACTAGAAACAAACGAGTGTAAGTAGCGAACCGGCCGGTTTGCCAAACCATGGCTGCAAAGCCTGCAATACCTTTTAGTTGAGTTGGGTAAAAATTTATTTCTTGTGGTTTGATTATACAAACGAATGTAAGTTGCACGCTTGTACCTGAAGATTCAATTAAGATTCAGCAAGTGGTGGATTTCACTTATTTTGGTCATGCAAGTTCCTCAATATTTAGATGTGTTTTCTTCTCTTGGATATTAATGTCACTCTTTGTGGTGAAGAAGCAGCTGCTTATGTGGCACTTTATCTTTGTCATGAATCATTTCATGCATAGCTTATGTATCATGCATAAAAATTGGCACATGGAAACTTTCATGGAACAAAATGTCTGGACCCAAAATGTTGTCGAAATCCCATAATCTCAAGGTTAAAATCAAGGTGAAGCTATGTAGTATTACTAAGAACAAAATGCACGTGGCACTTTATTTATTTATTTTTTTCCTGAATGCTGCACTTGGCACTTTCGGACCTTGACTCATCATAAATTTTAAATTTTGTACACACCTATTATTTTCGCTTCTAGTATGTCTTATGTTTGATAAGATATTCATTTGATTATCACCTCAACTAGCTCATCTTTGACAAGTGTATCTTAACCTCACCAGGCTTATAGATTATCATAAAGCTTCTTTTCTCCTCAAGGTGACGGGTTACAATTTGACATCTGTCTCTAATTATATCATTCACCTCAGTTTATGTGTTGATTTCTTTTAAAGAACTTGGCATTTTTAGTGGGCTTATGCCCTTCAACACTGCTCAAATGCACACTTCTCTCGCCCTGAAATTGGCCTCTCTAAAAAAATGCTAGTCTTACATATTTATGCAGGTTAGGTTAGTTGCAAAGACCTTACTGACTTCTTTATAGGCACTTATATTATCAAGGATCTCGTCCTTTCAGATAAGCCTTTCTGTTGGCATATGTATATGACAATTACCTCTTCTCCTCATATAAGCCTTGATACGAGGATGTTAACTTCTCAAACAGGTGCTTCAGCCTTCACTACAGCCATCTCTTCTCCTTATATTAGCTTTGCTATGGCAATGACATCTTCTCCTCATAATAGCCTCACCATGGAAAGGACCTCTTCTCCTTGTAGTAGCCTCAGCTTTTGATCTCTCCTCCTTAGATAAACTTCAATCGACACCCAAGACACCTTGATGCAACTCATATGCTTATGTTTGATTATATATTCATTTGATATCACCCTAACAAGCTCATCTTCAATAAGTGTTATCTTATCCTCATCAACTTATAGATTCTTGTCGGGATTGTATATCTTATAAGTAGCATAACTTTTTTCTCATTGTGATGAAGGGTTCTGAATATATCCATCACAATAGTGGTGTAAAAAACCATCCCAAGTCTTATATAATTATGCAGGTTAGTTGCAGATAGACATTACCGCCTTCTCTACTGGCATTTGTGATCTCTGATGGGGCCTCTATCCTTCTTTGTAGGCACTATATTGTTGAGGATTTCATCCTCTTAGCTAAGCCTTTTTGTTGGTGTATATATACATGAGAATTAACCTTCTCCTCCCATATGCATATGCCTTGATGTGAGGATATATACTTCTCAAATACGTGTCGTTGCCTTCTTTATAGCCATCTTCAAACAGGACCTGTTCTCCTCATCTTAGCTTTTGAGGAGCTCTTTTCCTCATACTAGCTTTACTATGGGGAGGACCTCTTCTCCTCATATTAGCCTCACCATAGGAAGGACCTCTTCTCGTTTTAGCCTCACCTTGAGGACCTCTTATCATTATATAAACTGCATTTGAACACCAAAGACACCCTGAAGCACCTTGTCCACTGCCTGAGTTAGAACATGACTTGGGGGGCATCTACAACAAGGTTTGCAATTGTTGTCATGGATCATCTTGGAATACACAGATATGGTATATGCCTATCTTCTATTATCGTCATAGGCCATCTTGATACAATCGGACATTTTATTATTTCTTAGGATTCTAGGAGTTGCTTGGTTTGGTGGCCAAAGTCCAAGATTTGTCGAGATGCCTCTTCTTGTAGCAACTTGGCTCAAAGTGACATCATTTGACTCCCGAATGAAATATGCTCTTATGATGTTGTAACATTATGGTAGATCCCCTCTACCATCATCATCATCCTTGCCTTTATCCCATAGATATGGGGTCAGCCATATGAATTCTCTTTTTCAATTCCTATTATACAACTCTTCCTCTTTTCATATGTGCATCATTGGGACTACGTTGAACATGAGTCACATGACCATACTACTCAAGTCTACTTTCTCTAATTTTATCACTTATAGGCGCTAAACCTAGTGTTCCTATCACACCTTCATTATTTATCTTATCTCTTCTAGTGATTCCTATCATTCAACGTAGCATCCTCGTTTCTGCTACATGGATGCATTGTATTTGTGTCTTTCTCAATGCCCAACACTCCACCCCATACAACATTGCTGGCCTAATAACCGTTTTATAGAACAGCCCCGTTAACTGTTCTACCATATATGGCTATTGTCTAAAGAACAGCCCCATTAACAAGTGAAGTCATCTTTTTGGACCATGGAGTCATCTTATTACAAGTCTATTATGAGGCGTTCTCAAGTTTGAATTTTACTTTTTGCTGACAAAGGTGCGAATGCCTAGAGTTCCCAAAAAGGCAGCATCTGTATTGAACAATGATGAGACACAAGGGTTTGGCAGTGGAGAGTTTGTGATTATTGGACTTCTGAGTAGTTGTATTATGTGTCAAGAGGTAACTGACGTGGTGGATCATCCGAGTGATTGAGAGCGTATGCAATTTAATTTTTTTTCAAGACACCTGAGGGGATGCTTCCTACTAGATGAGTTGTTGAATCTTCTTAAATAATTTGGGGAAAAAACCTGGGTGAAGATAGTGTGGTGTGCATTGGTGAATGACATGCATTGTAGTGTTTTTTTATTATTGTTAATTGAAGAACTTTCATTTTTGGGAGTTAGAAAGTATCTTGGTTTATTGTTGAAATTACCTATAGTTTCCACATTATCGGTGAAAATGCTGCAGATAACTATTGTTCTCACTAAAGTGGCACTCTTTGGTGGATGGTGGTGAGGGAGAAGGGTTCAACAGTGGACCATTTGTGATTGATATACGTCTAAATAGGTGCAATATGTGTCAGGAGGTAGCTGACTTGGTGGATTATTTAATATTTGATTGTTCTCTGAAGTTGGGGTTGCTGGATTGTATATTGTCTTCTGGGGATTGTTGGTTGTTGTGTCCAACAACTTTTGAGTTACTTCCGCTATGGTGGATTAATGGTGAAAGAAGGTTGATGGAGGTGTTTGAAGAGGTGATTGGCTTTGTTATGTTCAAGGAGATAAATTGAGGAATTTTAATGATGTTAAGTCCTTTATTTTGAGGTTGAGCATATATTTGTGAGAAAGCTCTTCCTTTGGCGACACTCTTTAAGAGCATACGGATTGATTTTTTGTTTTTGTTGAGTTCTTTGATTGTATGTTTACATGGCATAGCGTGTTTCACTCGCTATGCATTATAAAATAGGATTGCTAATATTATTGTGATCTTATCCAATGGAACATTCATCTTCCTTTTTAATTTCCTTCTTTCTTTTCTTGTTTTATTTTGCTGGGTATCATTATATACAGGGGTTGAGTAGGGCCCATGGAAAGATAAAACCCTTGGAGCACCATCTATGTGGTTTATTGCATCTTACCTCACAGCAACCCACTATGGTTACTCTTCCAACTAATATTCTGAAAAAAATTGCATATAAGATATCATAAACATGTTTTGAAGGATATAGAAAAAATTTCATTACCAACAGGCCTGTGGCCTAGCGGTACAAGGCTCCTACTTTCCAAAGGGAGGTCAGGGGTTTGAACCTCAGTGGAGGCAGTGTGTGTGAGTCCCAACTAGGAAAAAATTATATATATTTTCATTTTGCATTACTTTTTTGGGGTTGGTTGTCATGCCTGGGATCTTGGTCCTCTCAGCTCTGGATTACAAAGAATGTGTGGCTCACTGCACCTTCCAGATTCACTATTTCCCTTGTGGATGCAAATTGTTCCTGTGATAAAAAATAATTTCCTAGTTTATTTTATTGATCATAATAGGACATCCATATCTGGAGAATATCATGTTCCTCAAGATTGTTCACTTTATATATTCTGTGCCACATTTTATGCGGATAAAAATGGCGTAATAATTACTTAATCTAGATTCAACACCATGATGTGTTTTTACACAGGTACTGAAAATGCATCTCTATAGAACATGACAACAATTTTTGTTACTGAAAAATTAAACACACACACACATGCATACATATACATATATATATTAATGTAGCGAGAGGAAATTTTTTAATTTCAGCTGTGCACTAAATCGTTTTCACTTTTTTTATGGCATAGTTTCAATTTTTAACTTCACAATTTGCTTAAAGTTTATTTTATTCCTTTTGTTAAAGGTAGGTGGTTTGGGGGATGTAGTGGCTGGTCTTGGTAAAGCACTGCAGAAGAGAGGACATCTCGTTGAGATTGTTCTTCCCAAGTATGATTGCATGCAGTATGATCGTGTTCGTGACTTAAGGGTATGCTCATTGCTTGACAACTTGATAATAATAACCTGAGATTCATTAACAATTTCTGATAACCTAATTTGCTGATATTATACAGGCACTAGATGTTGTGGTAGAGTCATACTTTGATGGCCGGCTATTCAAAAATAAAATCTGGGTTGGCACTGTCGAAGGTTTAGAATGTTTATCACACTTACTTTCATAATACATACATATACATAAATATTAAGTAGTTTCCTATAAAAACATAATATAGTATTTCATTTTATTGTAATTTTGATTTGGCAGGTCTTCCTGTCTACTTTATCGAGCCTCATCATCCGGGTAATTTCTTCTGGAGAGGACAGTTTTATGGAGAGCATGATGATTTCAAACGTTTCTCATTCTTTAGCAGGGCAGCACTTGAGTTGATTCTTCAAGCTGGCAAGAAACCAGACATAATTCATTGCCATGATTGGCAGACAGCTTTTGTTGTATGGACAATATAAATCTTAATCCTCTAGTATTCATCTCTTTAGCAAGTAATGCCTGACTTCGATTATTTTTTATCTCAACTAAATTTTTTTAGTTGTCTTTTCTAGGCACCGCTTTATTGGGATCTTTATGCACCAAAAGGACTGAATTCAGCTAGAATATGTTTTACATGCCATAATTTTGAGTATCAAGGGACTGCACCAGCTTCAGAATTGGCATCCTGTGGTCTTGATGTTCATCAGCTTAACAGACCAGATAGGATGCAGGACAACTCGGCACATGATAGGGTCAATCCCGTTAAGGTAGACAAACTATCGGTCATGATTAACCAACTTAGTTTTGTTTGTTTTTTGTATTTCTTTTTTCTTTTTCTTTTTGTTTTCACATCCTATTGTTTTCAGGGTGCAGTTGTGTTCTCAAACATTGTAACAACAGTTTCACCGACCTATGCACAAGAGGTGCGGACTGCGGAGGTATGGATATACCTTGTGGTTGTACTTTATTAATAATGCTTATTTGTGTAAGACTACTTCATAATTTCTCCTGCTTTCAGAGTCATCTTTTGATAAGAAGGTGTTTTTATGTGAAATTCCAAGTTAGAAGAAAATTGTTATGCTTTTGTTTGTTAGAGGATTTATTATTCTTTTGTTTATCTTCTAAAGGTGTGGAATCACATTACTCTTTGATACAGTTGATTTGGTAAATCACCTCATAAAGTTATGTTGCCTTATATGTTACCAGCTAATACCTGTCAGCATAGGTGACATATAACCCAGATCCCAATATGCCAATTCCTTGTTTGATACTTGAGATAAATTGTACATAGTTTTCCATTAAATTTAGTATTAAATAATGATTTATGATTTGTGCAAAGTATACCATTATGTATTTTGATCTCATATACTTGCGCTGGTCAATACTTGAAACCCTGCAAGGGTTGGGCAACCATTATTTTGCTTGATTACTGAATGGCCCTTTTTGGGTTATGCTCAAGTATTTAGGCGCTTAGAAGACTTATGGTCTCTTTATGGGCTTTAGCAGCTCTGTCAGCTTTCATGGTCCTGTTCTGGATGTAAAGGTTTTGGGCTGTCAGAAAGTGGTCAAAACAGTTTTTAATTTTATCCCAAATAAATGTCTTTTGATATCATCAAAATTTTTGGAGATTTTACTTTTTCCTTATTATGGTGGCCTTCTCAGCTTTTTACCTGGACTTTGGTACGTGTATCGGATTCAGATTTTTGTGGGAGTGTTGGATGTATTAAATGGTCAAACAGAAGGAAATGTCACTTCTAAATATTCATATTATTTAATATCTTTCATTTATTTTTAGAGTAAAATAACATCTATATGTAACATAGTGTCCAAATTAGTCATTTAACACGTTTTGAAGCAATAATTAAATTAAATAAAATTATTACTTATATATAATAAAAAAAAATTAAATAAAGCTTTCAAGGTACATGTCCAACCAATTGTGTCGGACAAATTACACTCACCTTGTCCAAGTGTTGTGTGATTGGCACTGTTATTTCACATACTTTTGAAGAGTCGTTTATTTGGGTTGCCCACATGCATTCTCTTTTTCATTATTTTCTAGTACGAGTTATGTCTCGTATTATACCTAATTATTAAAGATCTTTTTTTATTACTTCGTTCTAAGGTGGTCTTGGTCTACCTCTCAGCCCCTCACCTTTTTATTTTAATTTTTAACTAATGTTACTTTCTTTATTGGTGCATTTTCTGGTATACATTATATATGTCCATCCTATCTGGGTCTACTTTGTTTTATTTTATAATTAATTGGTGCCAATCCTAGTCTTTCTTTAAGATGTTGATTACTAATCTTGATTCATCTAGTTACTCCTATCATCCATCTTAACATTATCATTTCGATGGAATGAAAGCCTTGCTTTTGTTTCTTTATTAGTGCACTTTCTTTATTGGTGCAATTTCTGGTATACATTATATATGTCCATCCTATCTGGGTCTACTTTGTTTTATTTTATAATTAATTGGTGCCAATCCTAGTCTTTCTTTAAGATATTGATTACTAATCTTGATTCATCTAGTTACTCTTATCATCCATCTTAACATTATCATTTCGATGGAATGAAAACCTTGCTTTTGTTTCTTTATTAGTGCATAGAATTCTGCTCCTTATAAAATAGATGATCTAATAACTATCATAAAAATTTCTCTTCTAACATATTTGGTATTCTTTTATCACATAGGATGCCACTTCGCGAAACCTGTCCAAATCAAGCATATTTCATCGTCATCTATTTCCCGGTCCTTTTTTATTTTTAATATTTTTTATTTATCATTGATTCTAAGTACCGAAAATGGTTATTTTGAAATAATCCTTTGACCTTAAATTGTTATCATTCTATTGTTCTTTATTGTAACGTTACTGAATTTACATTCCATATATTTTGTTCTAATTTTGCTACCCTTTTGACTCTTTACACATTTCTCCATGTGTCTACTATATCTTTCATAATAATAAATTTTAAATTCATTAGTACTTTTGGATTGCCGAACCAGGGAGGGAAAAACGGAATTAACTTTCACCTGTGCACGTCTCAACCACACAAGTTGTTATGTACTGATATTATATAAAATGCTGGAACATATTTCAAGTTAGCCTTGTCAAAATTATCCAGGATAAGATACATGGGTTTGGTTCTCCAAAGCTTCTTATTGTCTCATAGTCAAAGAATCTTTCAGTTCATGTCTTTGATACCTCATGAAGGCTTTTTTAATATATTTCATTAATGTTCTACAGGGAGGAAAAGGCCTTCATGCAACCCTAAATTCCAACTCCAAGAAGTTCGTAGGAATTTTAAATGGAATTGATACTGATGCGTGGAATCCTGCAACTGATGCTTTTCTCAAAGTCCAGTACAGCGCCAATGATCTTCAAGGGAAAGCAGAAAATAAAGAAGCTATAAGAAGGCATCTAGGGCTTTCTTTTGCAGATATGAGACAACCATTGGTAATGTTATTTACTTAATTATTTAATGACTAATTTTGTGATGCAAGAGACTTCACTTTTGTCATTTTAACTTTCCAAACTTGAAGCAAATTCCTTCTATAAGAAGGTAATGTGCTATACTTGTTACTTCCATATAGTACATTACTGCAGCTTTATTTTATGATGCATCAACCATGGTATAGTGTATCCTGGAGTGACCTTTTGAGTCCATAGCAGCTTATTATCATTTTTCTATAAACATGAATTTGTTGGAGAACTGTAGGCATGAAACTAAAAATAAATAATTATGGTGCATCAACTACAGAACTTTTGTATTATGAAGCGGGATTTTGAGTTGGGCAGCTGTATGTTCATTGTTTCATGTTAACTAGAAAATTTTTCACTTGGAAAACTAACTTGTATCTGCTTTTACTGCATATACATCTCTATTGTTTTCTGCTTATATGCAGATTGTTCTGATATTGTGATTCACAATTGCATGGAAAGAATAATTGCTACTTGCTAATGAGTTGCTAGAAGGGGTTGCATGTGTGTGAGGGTGTGATGCTAGATATATGTTGTTGGGTCCATTCCTTAAAATCCTAAGCTGTTTAGGAATGGGCCCGATACCATATATCATGCTCTCGCAGTTATAAGTCTTAATGGTTGTTAATTTCTTCGTCTATATTATCGGTGGAACAGCCTTGATTTTTCATACAACAATGTTTATTCAGGCGGAGTGGTGAGATTTGCTATTGTCACATGGTTTAGCAGTTCGCAATTATGCTTCTGGTTTCATTTTAATTGATGATCGATATGAGATATTAGTTAGTCTGAATGTGCTGCTTGTGCTAATTTATAGTACTTGACTTGCACAAAGAGAAGTAACCTGAAAATATGAAAAGAAAAGAAAGAAAAGAAAAGAGAAGAAAATGAAACGCCATATTAACACAAAAGATGCTAAAAAGTAATTAACATCAGAAGGAGGAATTATTAGCAATAAGGATATCAAGGATGAATGGTAAAAGTTGAATGGCCAATAAATTAATGTGATACCTTTTCTCATACTATATCTAGTAAAAAGTATATCCATGGTTATTACATTGCACGGTTGGATTTTTCTCCTTGTGGAAGCCCAATTTATGGTTTATTTATCTGAATGGATATCGTTTTCTTGTTTGACATTGTCTGTTCCATTGTTTTATAGGTTAGTTGCATAACAAGATTGGTACCACAGAAAGGTGTACATCTTATTAGGCATGCAATATATCGGACATTAGAGCTGGGAGGACAATTTGTACTTCTTGGTTCAAGTCCAGTGCCACACATTCAGGTAAACTTCTGTTGTTCTCTCTCCTATCAAGACTTTGATAACCGGAAGTTGTATGCAGTAGACTATGACATGTAAGACAAAAATCTCACCTCAATAAATTAATTTGTTGAAAAAAAATAGGAATCTCACTTAGACAATGTCTATGTGTTGCTTTAGGGATGGAATTCTGATTTTTGTTCTTTTATTTTCTTTTCAAATTTTTGTGGCTGATCAAGGTCAGGACTAAAAAGTTTCTAGTAATGTTTCTTCCATTTAATTTAATATAACTAGTGAATCTTCTGTCCATTCCATAATTGGTATTATATTGGAATCTTCTCTTTACTTCCAGTTATGTACCACTTAAATTATCTGAAAAAGTGGGCATGCATGTGCATAAAGCGTACTCATTTACATAACCCTCACTATACCTTGAAAGAATTAAAACGAGAACTCCAGGGAACTAGGCCATGGTCATGTAGCATGAAGAATAGTATGGGTACACATGTACTTTATTCATAGGAAGTCACTTTATTCGTAGTTTTATTTCTAATGTATTAGAGGGGTGGCACACGCTGCTTATGCTCTCCTGACCTCACATATTCCACATTTCAGTTACCTCGCACACATTGGTTGCAAGTGAGTCATTGAGAAAAAAGTGCATACAAGACCTTGGGCAAGTATAAGGCAAAATTCGTGCCAAAGGCTTCACTCAGAAGCTCAGGATACACTTTGTAGATGTTTTCACCAGTGATAAGGATAATCATGTCTATAGTAACTAAGATGGATCTTTAGCTGTAAAAGTTAGATTTCTAGATTGCATTCCTCAAAGGAGAACTGAAGGAAGTTGTCTATATGGAACAACCCCGTGGGTTTCAAATAAAGAACACGAGTACAAAGTTGACAAGTTGTAAATATCCCTGGATGGATTTAAACAGTCCTCGAAGAATGCTATTTTAAGTTCCACCAAGCTATTCTAGAAAAAGAATAGGGTTTCAGTTGAGTCCTTTGATTCATTGTGTATATGTTTGGAAGTACTAAGCTAACACAACCACATTATCTTTTTATGTTGCTGATTGTTTGTTGACAGGTTATTGTTCAAATATGACGCAGAGAGCATAATCATATCTAAAAAAAATCCAAAATTGACATGAAGGATATTGGATATTTCCACTGAATAGAAATTCAAAATTGTCATATATGGATTAGGAACAGTATCTTTTTTTTTTATAAGTAAAGATATATTAGAAAAAAGTTCAAAAAGGGGAACGCGTGCCTAATACAGAAAAACGAAAAGCAGAAGCCAAACCTATGGACCAACAAAGTCCAAAAGAACAAAAAAATCATCAATCGAGGAGCAAACGTTGCCTCTAACATAACAGAAAAGAGAGCGTAGAATAAGAGACTTAAGGTTTGCAAAAGACGATTCCTTCCCTTCAAAGTGTCTGTTATTTCTCTCTCTCCAAATACACCACCAAACACAGTGTGGGGCGATCCTCCAAAAATCACGAGCATGACCAGAAACAAGGCATCTTCTTCAAGCATTAATTAATTGGAAAGAGTGCTTAGGCATTACCCACTGAACACCAAAAATGCCGAATATGAGATTCCAGCAATCAGTTGCAACAGGACAGTGCATAAGGAGATGGTCCACGGACTCACCATCAGTTTTACAAAGGCAGCAACAGTTAACAATTATAGTACCTGTCTTACGCAAATTATCCAATGTTAGAATTTTTCCCCAAATGGCTGTCCAAACAAAGAAGGCAACTCTAAGAGGAGCTTTAGATCGCCAAATACACTTCCATGGGAAATCATGTCCAATAAAATTAGACAAACACAAGAACATGGATCGAACTTCGAATCTACCATGAAGAGAGGGGGTCCACAAAATATCATCACAACCTCTGCCAACATCCTTCTGTTTATACAACAGGTCCAAAAAGACACAAACTTCAGCTATCTCCCAATCCTGAAAAGAACGCCTAAACCGCACATCCCACATAACTCCACTGTTATCAAGATGATAACAGTCAATTACGTAAGCATGCTTATTCTCAGCAATGCTAAAGAGACGAGGAAAGGAAAGAGACAACAACTGATCACCACACCATAAATCTTCCCAAAATCTAACATACCTACCATTTCGAACCTTGAACCGAATATGGGTGGAAAACACATCCCAACCTTTCCGAATGAACTTCTAAACGCTAACGCCCCCGGTAACCGAAACAGGACGGGAGGACCAACCTCCACTCTCCTCCCTAAAACGACATTAGATAAGTCTTCTCCATTGATGATGACGCTCTTTACCGAATCTCCATAACCACTTCCCCAGTAAGGCTCTATTGAAAGGGACCAACTTCCGGATACCTAAACCGCCAAACTTCAACGGTTTACAAACCTGCTCCCAATTAACAAGATGATACTTAAACTCCTCTCCTTTTCCACCCCAAAGAAAATCTCTCTGAATTTTTTCGATTCGTTCAGCAACAGAGCACGGGATTTGAAATAGAGATAAGAAAAAGGAGCTCAAAAATTTCAACATGGACAACTAAAAGGCATTTGACGAATCCTATCTGGAAGGGTCAAAATTTTAACAAGAATATGTTCCTGCATAAAGAGGAGGAAAAATGAAAATGAGGAAGGTCAGGGGTTTGTGTCTGGCTTAATCTTGTCTGTGTCGTAATCATGTCGACCCAAATTGACACGCTAATTAAACATGTCGTATTCGTATTTGAATTACTTTAATGGTATGGACTTTTCATTAAACATGTCATGTTATGTCGGGTCTTTACCCATTTATTAAACAGGTTATGTGTGCCGTGTTTTGTTACCTCTTTAGTAATTGTGTCGTGTCAAGATTCCTTGACACGAATAATAATGATGTTGTGTTCGTGTCAACCCATATAGTAAAATGCTCATGACAAGAAACAACACAAATACAACATGGGAACATGAATTGCCACCCCTAGTTGTGTTGCAAAGCATACTACAGAGGATGAAAGAATAGCATGCAGCACATCGGTAAAAACAGTATGGATAAAATGCTTCATAGATGATTCAAAATTAAGTATACATAGTAGACCAATAAATACTGTTTTGTGTCAACAAACCTACCATCTCTTTAATAAAATATGCAACAAAAACTGGGAAGATAGGTTGATGTCAGTTATCACTGTATACAGTATACATGATATAGTGGAGAGGGATGGAATAAATATTGACTAGATATTGCCCGACCCTATAACCAAGGGGTTGTCTATGGAGGAATTCTGAGATGAAGGAATGTCAATGTGATTGAGAATCACCTACTATTGCAACTTTATATGGTTATATTGTAGAAAAGATCTACTGGACATCCAAGATGAATGGATGAATGATGAGTTGTTGCTCTACTTATATGGACGAAGAATTGTTGGATGAAAGGTAGAGGATAATAGTGAGGTAATGGTTGTTTAAAAGTCCACTTTGAAGCACGTCGAGATAATTCTATAACCACTCAGGCGAATGGTGTAAAGACACTGATTAGGTGCATTAAGCAAATCTCTGTATTGGGTCTAAGAGGAAGTTCTTGATTGAAATTTCAGGTGCATGTCACTATATTGGGTTACCGATGTGTATAACTGGAGTTGTAAATAGCACTGAAGGTGTGGACTTATGATTCCCTTGTACCGTATTGGCGCCATTGACTTCGTGAAAAGTTGAAACTAAGACACATGGATTTGTGTCACACGCAATATACATGGAACTGTGAAGCTAGAAAATGATTTCATAAAGCGTGCGCATCTGAGTCCATGTCCGTGATCTAATGTTGATCTGTGAGGGATCATATCTGAGATTGTGGAAATTGTAAATTGGTTACAAGGAAGACACCAACTAGGAAATACTACCATCACTTTCAAAGGTGATCAGATGGGAGATTTTGGCCTAATTGATTGGGTATCACACTGGAATCCATGCACCTCCTCATGTTGGATCTCAACTTTGGTGGTGGTGTTATTTTTCCTAGTGGAGTTGGTGGAGATTTTTTGAATTCAATTACTTTCTTATACAACTTTTGTTGGAAGAATTGTAACCCTATGTTAGATCACATAGGTAATCATATGGAACCTTTTGGTTTATTATGAATATAATTACACCATTCGAATGGCCAACTTTCTCTTCCTTCCGTAATTTACTCATAAACCTTTTCCGATTCATACAGCCCTCTTTGACGTGCCCATAGAACATTCTTTTTATTTCAGCAGTTAACAGTTTGGCTGTCATGCATATGCCTGTTCATTAATATCTGAAAATTAATTTCAGATATATTGAAGTTTAATCTGAATGTTCTTTCCTAATTATAGTTGCTTTTTACTTTGTTATTCCATTGATTGCAGTTATCACTCTATTAAATTTGTCAACTGTTTTAATTAATTTTTCTATTAACTATAAGGCTGTTGTTTTTTTGTAGAGGGAATTCGAGGATATTGCAAACCATTTTCTGAGTCACAAACACGTTCGGTTGATATTGAAATATGATGAGTCTCTTTCCCATACAATTTATGCAGCGTCTGACATGTTCATCATCCCATCTATCTTTGAGCCTTGTGGCCTTACACAGGTAGAGTCTGCACCTTGAACAGAAAACTACTTGACCAATTATGTGGGCCTGATTTGCACAAATGATAACTATAATTCAAACTTGGATTCAGTAAATCATTGAATTGTGTCCCAAGTATAAACCCTTCTGTGATTCATTTATTTATTTATTATTATTATTTTTTTTTGGCAGATGATAGCAATGAAATATGGTGCTATCCCTATTGCAAGAAAAACTGGGGGTCTAAATGACAGGTGGGGTCACTGCCTGACATGTATATAAAGCTCTCTCTTATTGGGAATTATTCTTCCCAGAAAATTTTACTCATGCTTTTGATTCCCATGCAGTGTTTTTGATCTTGACGATGATACCATACCATTACAGTTTAGAAATGGATTTACATTTCTGACACCTGATGAACAGGTAACCTTGTCGCATGCTTGCTATAGTGTTAACCTATTATTTATAGTTAGTTCTGTTTTACTTTTTATTCTTGACATCTTTGTTAGGTGTATCTATTTGTCCCACTATTCTTTTCATGGCTTCAAATCAATAGAAGGATTTTCATTTTTAAAAAATTCTTCGTCTGAAACCGGTGAATTATTCACAGGGACTCAACAATGCTTTGGAACGTGCATTTAAACACTACGGGAACAATAGTGAGAGTTGGCGACAGCTTGTTCAGAAGGACATGAGTATAGACTTCAGTTGGGACTCGTCAGCATTACAATATGAGGAACTATACGAGAAATCTGTTGCCAGAGCTAGGGCGGCAATTCGTGCTTGATCTTGTGTTGGTGCTAGTTGTCCCATTTCTTTGGCGAAAGCGTTCTTTTGTGACGTACGAATCTGTCCACCAGGTCTGATTAGAATGGCTTCCAGATGAACTGATGATATCAAATTGCTTGACCAGTTATATGTTCTACAATGGAGAAGACTGACAAGTACATGATACATCTTCAGTTGGAGAGCAAAAAGCTTTGAAGTCTGTTGTTGAAGTGGGATTAGAATTCTCTCTCCTTATGACTTCCCCATTTTTTGTCTGTATACATAAGCTCACCATTCATTTGTTCATATTGCAGCTGATGTACATTACAGTTATATTAAAGTTATATTCTTGTACCATCATTTAGGCAAATATAAGATAGATAATTGTTATGCATTTACGGATTTTTAGGTGTCAAATTACGTTGTCATGGAGTTAAAATTGACGTGTTTTTTTTTTTTTTTTTTTCTTTTCTGAAAATGGAGTTTTCTAATATTTACATAACCAAAAACTCATTCCCCTTTTCACTTTATCCACAAAATGACCATCATGCCCTCAATTTTTTACTAAACAAACACCTCTCTCTCTCTGGTCAAACCATTCATTAGAAATTTAGAAGAGCAAGCATTTCTGGTGGTTTTTGGGCTATTTTTCTCTCTATATCACACGTAATGTGCATAATTTATAACTTTGACGGTTGGAAAATTAAACCAAAATGTGAGCTATCCGTTGGTAACTTTCTGTCCAATACTTGATCTGTTGGTAATTTACAAAGAAAATCATTGATTGGTTGATGATATTGCATGCCCGAAAAATGATACATCTTGCACAAAAATAATACTTGCACGTAGAAAAATAATTTCCCAGAATATTAGTTAGCCATTTTTTTTTTTAATGACAATTACACTTTGTAGACACATTTTTTAATGATTTAATAATGCCATTTGAGGTCCTAGCCTCATATAAAGGGTCCCACAAATTTCACCCGCATAATTTGAACTTTGACCATGGGCCATTTAACAGGAGGTACACAAAAGTAAGTTGGGAGGCCAAAATTTAAAGTTTTAAACATAGATTTTCCATGTCTTTGTAATTTTTTTCAAAACTCTATTTTTCGGAAACTTAAAAATGTTAAAAAAGAGTTCAGGCCAAAATGCCATTTTTATGTAATTTTTCAGAAACATATATAACTTGATTTTTCCATTCTATTATCTATCTATTGCTATTATTTGTTTCTCTTGCAGGCTTTCTTTATCTATTGTTTTCTCTAAAGATTAAAGTCTATTAGTTTTGTTTATTTCTTGTTTCACTAAGATTAAGTTTTCCAACAGACGGAGAGGATTACGTTTGCACTAAGCCATATCAACAACTGTAAGCAGCTGATGCAATTAAAAATAAAAAATGTAAAACAGAACACAGATTCAGTTTTAAAACAGAAAATTCATAATATATATATTCCATTAATTCACACAATTTGACATCAACAATCTTCTACAGCTCACTTTCCGGGGACAAAGTTTGTAGCATAAGCCCATGCATTGTTGTTAACTGGGTCAGCAAGGTGGTCAGCCAGGTTCTCCAATGGTCCCTTTCCGGTAACAATGGCCTGAACAAAGAATCCGAACATTGAAAACATGGCAAGTCTACCATTCTTGATCTCCTTCACTTTAAGCTCAGCAAAAGCCTCTGGATCATCAGCAAGGCCCAATGGGTCGAAGCTTCCACCGGGGTAGATTGGGTCAGTCACCTCTCCGAGAGGCCCACCGGCAATACGGTAACCCTCAACAGCTCCCATCAAGATGACTTGTGAGGCCCAGATGGCGAGAATGCTTTGGGCATGGATCAAGCTGGGGTTGCCCAAGTAGTCAAGTCCACCCTCGCTGAAGATTTGGGCTCCGGCCTTGAACCACACGGCCTCACCGAACTTGACACCGTTACGGGCCAAGAGCTCGGGAAAGACACACCCGAGAGCTCCGAGCATGGCCCATCTGCAGTGGATCACCTCGAGCTCACGGTTCTTGGCAAAGGTCTCCGGATCAGCGGAAAGTCCAGCAGTGTCCCAGCCGTAGTCACCGGGGAATTCACCGGTGAGGTAGGATGGGGGCTCACCGGAGAGTGGGCCCAAGTACAAGACTCTGTCTGGGCCGTACCATGGGCTGCCGGATGGGCCGGGCTTGAAACTCTTCCTCATGGTGACCCTTCCACCACCGAGAAAGTCCGGGGTGGATGGAGAGAGTTTCACCGCCTTTCCGGCGAAAGAAGGTGAAGAGAGAGCCATTGTTGAAGCAGCCATGGGCGAAGAAGAGTAGGGCACTGTGTTGATGGCGGCTTGTTTGGGTTATGAGTGGGAAGAAGAAGATGGGGTAGTTGGTGGTTTAAATATAGAGATTGTGAGAGAGTTTCTTATCTTATGTTATCTTTACCTCTCCTCTCATTGGGTGTCAAGATTTTTGTTTTATTTTTGTACCTGACACTTGGCATTTGGCATTTCAAATCCACCAACTCATCTAAGCTAAGATTTTATTGCTTGTAATCTCAGCTGAGCCAATGGGTGTTCCGTGTGTAAGATTGAGAAGAGACCAAAGTGCCAACGATGGGGTCCACTAATCTTAGGCAATATTCCTCTACAAATGTGTAGCCCTAAAGTTTTATGTTCCTCGTGCATATGCCTTTGGAATGATTTTCCAATTTCAATTATTCACTTTAATCTTTAGAATATTAATCAAACCCCTCAAAATATAATCATGAAAAGCAATATTTCAACATAAAAAGAGTGTGCTTTATGATTTGGGTTTGGAAAGGATTATTCAATTTGTATTATTGTAACTTTAGTATTAAAGTATTATTCAATTTGTATTATTGTAATTTTAGTATTAAAGTATTATTCAATTTGTATTATTGTAATTTTAGTATTAAATAGAATGCGTGAAATCATTTAGGCTTCCCTATTAAGATTGTTATAATGTTCTTTCAAAATATTTGTAGCCCATCTATGACGGAGAGCCTGGTGTTGAGAGAGTCTTTGGTTTTGCTCAATCAATGGGGTTACCACAATGTGGCTGTGGAAGGGGAGTGTCTTCCGGTTATGCAATTGCAAGCTTCCACAGATGCTTTGAAGGTGGTGTTTAATGACATTTGTATTATGTTTAAGTTGTGTTTAGACTCTTCCCATGTGTGGGTTCCTCGTAAAGGAAATTATGTTTGCTCATATGTTGAACAAAAATGTTTTTAAAGTCAAATGTAATGATTTAGAGTGGAGCATATAATTCGTAGTTGTTAAATGTTTTTTTTCTAACTTTGTATTATCTCCGCCTTTGAAATGTTAAGTACTGCACAAATTACAATCATGTAAAGCAATATTTGAAGATTCATTGTAAGAAAATTTGAAATACTGGTGAAACTAAAATAATTTATTTCATTTTATAAATTTTTTTTTTGAGCTTTTCTAGCAACAGTCGACTATTTGAAGACTATGTCGACTGTTGCCATCAGTCGTCTATTTTGATCGCTGAGAATCAACCCACGTAAGCATGCGCACATGGGGCCAATTTTTTTTTTTACTTTAATTATCTTGTTTTAAGAGACATACTTTGGAAAGAGAGTTTTGACTTACTGAACGGATTATTGCTTTTTCTCCTTCCCTTTAACCAGTCATTGCACTTTTTTTTTTTTCTTCCTTATCTGGTAAAAACAACCTTGAAGAAGAAGACCATTTTTTCGTCATCATCACCAAACTCAGCCCACTGCTGACAGCAAATCCATTCAATCATTTATTTTTTGCCGCTCGATCCAATGGATCACGACGTCTGGGCTAAAAACGTCATCCGGGTGAACCACCACTCGTGTCGTGTCAATTCACTGAGTCAACCCGGCCACTCATCCGATTCCATTTTTTCAGGTTTAGCAGATTCCTAAGCATACTGAAAGTCTCTGGTTTGGTTAATCTTCATTTGTTGAGGAAGAGAAAACCTTTGGAAGTGTAGGTTTGTCATGCATTAAATGTTATAATTTTCTTTTAAATACACAAGATGCATCTTACTTACCTACCAGAAAAAATAGTGTTGTATATTAATGAAAGAGATAAAAAAATGATGTTTGATTTTTGATAATTTGAAATTTTGAAAATTTCAGGTTTATGAAGAAGCAGGTTTTTGTTGAGAAATAGCTATGATTCGTTTATAAAGAGGCATGTTTATTTTGTTCATGTACGGAGTAATCTTTTGAGATGTGATGGGATTTTATTTACATTTAATTATAATGATGTAGAATTTTATTTTTATTTTTATTTTTATTTATTTATTTATTTATTTTGGGAAATTGATGTAGTAATATTTTGTCTATGGATGTAGACAAACTTTACATGATGAATGTTTAATTTACACTTTATTGGCAATAGGTTTACTTGATGTGATACTGTAATTCTATTCAAATTCATAATGTCGATTGTTACAGTAATTCTATTGGACTGAGTTTGATGATGATGAGGAAGAAAAAAAAAGGCGCAATAACCGATTAAAGGGAAGGAGAAAACGCAATAATGTGCTACTGTATTTCTATTAGAATTCATAATGTCGAATGTTACTGTAATTCTATTGGACTGAGTTTGGTAATGAAGAGGGGAAAAATATATATTTCTATTAGATCGAGCGGCAAAAAATGGATGATTGAACGAATTTGCTGTGGGTAGTAAACTGAATTTGGTGATGATGAGATAAAATGGTCATCTTCTTCAAGGTTATTTTTACCAGATGAGTAAAAAGAAAGGAAAATGCAATGCTAGTTAAAGGGAAGGAGAAAATGCAATAATTGGTTCAGTAAGTCAAAACTCTCTTTACAATGTGCGTCTCTTAAAACAAGAGAATTAAAGAAAAAAATAAAATAAAAAAAATAACCCCATGTGCGTATGCTTACTTACTTGGACTGATTTTAACCCATCAAAATAAGCGATTGATGACAACAATCAACATAATTTATGTCGACTTTTGGTAGCAAAGCTCTTTCGTTTTTTCTCTCAGTTTACATCATAATTTCATAAATAATGGACTATTTCTTAGTCTACGTAATGATAAGTACCTCAACCGACCAGCTCAATAATATTGAATTTATGACCGGCTAAACCATGATTCAAATCTTATCTCATTTACCAATATATATCACTAGAATTCATTGATACTGAGCTAACATCTACCATCAGATTTGGAGTATTATCATGGTTAAGTATTTACCACCACAGATATAAATGGGTCTTAATTCATTTGTCATATTCATTACTGATGTTGAAATAAGAAACATAATGTTGTTGCGTGTTAATGTTTTATTGCATACTTTATCCATTAAGATGCAGCAATATGTTGCAATATCTGATAGCACAACTGGCAAAGCCCTATAGGTTGATACAAAATTTTGTAATATTTCATGAGATTTTTGGTACACTGTGTGTTGTAAGTGGTGCGAATATTCTTGGAAGTTTGTTTGAAAAAGTCCAAAAGCTAGTAAGTGGTGTAGAGATTGCCAATTGGACATCCAATTAATGCATCTCAAGCTTTCAAAATATTGTCAACCAATAAGAATGAAGATAAAGATCTCCAAAGATAAGGACCCCTTGGGCCTCCAACTTATATTAACGCAGAGCTTGTAACCCATGAAACTCAACTCACAAATAACCCTTCATTTAACTGTTTGTTTCTTTCAATACTAGTTTTTAATTCAATTCTTCAATGGCTGCTTCAACAATGGCTCTGTCTTCACCATCTTTTGCCGGGAAGGCAGTCAAACCTTCCCCATCCGCCCCGGAGCTTCTCGGAGGTGGAAGGATCACCATGAGGAAGACCGTCCCCAAGGCATCCGGAAGCCCATGGTACGGCCCAAACCGAGTCTTGTACTTGGGCCCACTCTCCGGTGAGCCTCCATCCTACCTCACTGGTGAATTCCCTGGTGACTATGGTTGGGACACTGCTGGCCTTTCCGCTGATCCAGAGACCTTTGCCAAGAACCGTGAGCTCGAAGTGATCCACTGCAGATGGGCCATGCTAGGAGCTCTCGGGTGTGTATTCCCCGAACTCTTGGCCCGTAATGGTGTCAAGTTCGGTGAGGCCGTATGGTTCAAGGCCGGAGCCCAAATCTTCAGTGAGGGTGGACTTGACTACTTGGGCAACCCCAGCTTGATCCATGCCCAAAGTATTTTGGCCATCTGGGCCTCACAAGTCATCTTGATGGGTGCTGTTGAGGGCTACCGTATTGCCGGTGGGCCGCTAGGAGAAGTGACTGATCCAATCTACCCCGGTGGAAGCTTCGACCCATTAGGCCTTGCTGATGATCCAGAAGCTTTTGCTGAACTTAAAGTGAAAGAGATCAAGAATGGCAGACTAGCCATGTTTTCTATGTTTGGATTCTTTGTTCAGGCCATTGTTACCGGAAAGGGACCACTGGAGAACCTCGCCGACCACCTTGCTGACCCTGTAAACAACAATGCATGGGCCTATGCCACAAACTTTGTCCCCGGAAAGTAAGAGAAAAAGAAAAAGTCGGACTTGCATGTGAGCTCATCAAGTGGGAGTAGAATTTAATTCAAGAAAGAAGGAATTTATATATATATATGAGAATGTTGCGTCTTGTAAATTGGTGTGAATGTAACTGAATTTCTGAATTTTTTGCATCAATATGGGTGTGAATATTCTTAATTTCCTTGCAATCTTTTACATTTCTGTTGCAAGCTGTGAGGAATATGGACTGGACTTCAAGGTAGTAAATACTTACTACTTGCTACTACGTTCAGCAAAACAATTGCAAAGAGAAATACCATAACTATTTAATCATACCATGCTTTCTCAATTTTTAATTCACTCCTTACAACCATATGATCTATAGTTACCCATATATAAAGCATAAATAGTAATATTGTATATATCACTTCCACTCTGTAGATGTATGTATAAATATTATAGTACATGTACGTTTATGGGTAAGGTGAGGTATATTATAAATAGAGGTAATAATATTTGACACGACACGCTAATACAATACGATATAAGAGGGTTTGGGCTAATCGTGTTCGTATTATAATCGTGTCGACACGAATTAACCCGCTAACCAAAAGTGTAGTGTTTAACACTGTAAACAGGATTATGACACTATTAACCCAATTAATTAAACGTGTCGTGTTAAAAATGACCAATTTAATTAAACGTGTAGAATAAATATGTCGTCTTCGTATCAAAAATAACTTAGTATTTCCGTCCTCGCTATTTAATATTTTAATAAAATTAAATATATATATTTAGTTATATTATATTAAATACTATTAAACAATAATTAATATAATGATTTATTCATGGTATAATTATATATAGATTCTTTATTTATGCTGCCATAACCGTTACTCTTTTATATTATAAAAGGGTTAGATGTTATCATTTTATAAATTTATGTGTGGAGATATATATACAACTGCGAGTGATACTCTTGAAAAAAAAAAAGGTTTTTCATCTTGCCATTCTATTTTATCATATAATTATATGTGTATTGTGTGTTTGAGACTATTTTAGATCGATGTTGAATTTGTGAGCAACTAGACTTTTATATACAATTGAACCTAGTCTTCCTGTGGTCGTGCACATGAAAGAAACGTCGCTCCGAACTGATTGGGTTGTATCTTGGAACTGACTAGTTTTGCCAATACCCACACAAATTGAATGACTATCAATTTTAGGTCAATATATTTACACATGCGTCAACAATAAGAGGCCACCACTTTCATACCTATTTTACTATGTCGTTTTCCTTCTTAATTTATATTATTATATTTATCCTCTATTGCATAATTATTTATATTGTTAAATTATTGCTCATTGTTATAGTCATGTTGTTCAAATGATGTATTATTCAATTTAATGAAAGAATTATTATTTAATTATTCATTGATGTTATTTTTCTTGCCTTGAATCATCATGTATGGATATATTGATGGATTGTCCTTTGTATTATTTTATGAAATATGTGAAATTTTTCACAATACTTAGAAATCCTCATTATTCATAAAACAGTTCAGAATTTAACAATGAGCAAATCCTTGCAATTTGGCAGATATGGAATTGGTGATTCGGAATTCGAATTGATGGAATTGGGAAAAAGAAACTCAAAAAATTGAACCAAAATTTTCTCTAATTCTATCAATTCAAATTACAATACTCCAATTTCATACCGCCAAACATAGTCAAACTTCCTTTGGTAATTATTCATGCATGTGTATATATTGTTGGATGTGTTTGCCCTTGCTTCAATCTGAGAGTAAACAAATATCTGGAAGGATTTGCAATACCAATCACTAATTATCCAAACAATGTAACACAATTAATTAATAAATCTAAACGTAAAAAATAAAGAGTTAAATATTATATATAAATTATATTGTAATTATCATTATCATTGCTATCTTATAGGAATAGGGTCCTAAATATAATCATATTATGTAATAAAATAAGAATACTATATATAATACACACCACACACAAATCTTAGACTATTCTTTCATATTATATAGTTTATATTATACATTTATTGTATAATACATTATAAATATTTATAATAACTAATTAAAATCTCAATATCATATTATGAAGTTTAAATAGGTATATTATTTTATAAAAAACTATTATTGTAAAATATATTTCTTTTATAATTATTATTTTATTATATAAGGTAATATTTTTAGAAAGTTTTAGTTATTTTTTACTTATATAGTGTAATATATTATATTTTATCTATGAATTTTTATAATACAGGAGATGTTAAAGTGTAAAAATTTGGAAGTAGAAGAATTTTTATGAATTTGATCTAAAAGAGTATTTTAATCGTGACACAAAACACACCTCATCTTATCTATAACTGGGCGTTTGTTGGTTTGTGAATTTAATTCAAAAATAAATGAATGAATCTAAATAAGCAAAATTGACAGAGTGGAATATTCTGTCACATGTTATTGCATTATTTATCATGAAGAGGTAGCAATATCCGCAGTGGCAAAGGCCCATTGGTTGAATATTTCATGAGATGTTTGGGCATGTGGTGTAGAGATTGACAAGTGCCAACTAGACATCCTACGTGGATATTTCAAAATGTAATGAACCAATAGGAGCAAAGAGAAAGATCTCCAAAGATAAGACCACTTGGGCCTCAAAGCTACTATTAATACACAGTGCTTGTAACCCATGAAACTCAAAGCAGTAGCACCTATCCCATAACATATACCCTACAATACTTCTCATTTTAATCCTTCAATGGCTGCTTCAACAATGGCTCTATCTTCACCATCTTTTGCCGGGAAGGCAGTCAAACTTTCCCCATCCGCCTCGGAGCTTCTCGGAGGTGGAAGGATCGCCATGAGGAAGACCGTCCCCAAGGTATCCGGAAGTCCATGGTACGGCCCAAACCGAGTCTTGTACTTGGGCCCACTCTCCGGTGAGCCTCCATCCTACCTCACTGGTGAATTTCCTGGTGACTATGGTTGGGACACTGCTGGCCTTTCCGCTGACCCGGAGACTTTTGCCAAGAACCGTGAACTCGAGGTGATCCACTGCAGATGGGCCATGCTAGGAGCTCTCGGGTGTGTTTTCCCCGAGCTCTTGGCCCGTAATGGCGTCAAGTTCGGTGAGGCCGTATGGTTCAAGGCCGGAGCTCAAATCTTCAGTGAGGGTGGACTTGACTACTTGGGCAACCCCAGCTTGATCCATGCCCAAAGTATTTTGGCCATCTGGGCCTCACAAGTCATCTTGATGGGTGCTGTTGAGGGCTACCGTATTGCCGGTGGGCCGCTAGGGGAGGTGACCGACCCAATCTACCCAGGTGGAAGCTTCGACCCATTGGGCCTTGCTGATGATCCAGAAGCTTTTGCTGAGCTTAAAGTGAAAGAGATCAAGAATGGCAGACTAGCCATGTTTTCTATGTTCGGATTCTTTGTTCAGGCCATTGTGACCGGAAAGGGACCATTGGAGAACCTCGCCGACCACCTTGCTGACCCTGTAAACAACAATGCGTGGGCTTATGCCACAAACTTTGTCCCCGGAAAGTAAGAGAAAAAGAAGAAGTCTTAGAATTGTGGGCTCATGAAGTGGGGAATTAATTTAATTGAAGAATATATATGAATATGAGAATAGTGTGTCATGTAAATTGTTGTGGATGAAAGCTAAATTCTGAATTTTATGCAAATACTTTCTGAGTGAATGTTCTTAATTTTCCTACGTCTTCTTGCCCTCAATTCGTATGGTTGGCTTTTACACTTAGTGTTGTAAGTTGTGAGGAACGTGGACTTGAGTTTTTCTGAAATATGGTAGTAAACACTTGTGTCTCTTTCTGAAAATCAATCAGCGAAACAGAAACAGTTGCAAGGAGAAATGGCTTTTGGATGACAATACTGTAGAACAATCATGGCTCCTTGGTATGTTCTCTCATTTTTTAATTCATAAACTTTAAAAGCATTTGATCTATAGTTGATTTATAGTTACCCATATCTGACCATAAAAAAATAATAATAATAAAATAAAATAAACTTTTAAGATACAAAGTTTTTCTTTCGAAAAATCTAACATTTTAAGATGATAATTTTTTATTGTATGGACAATGGATGTTCAGGTCCAAAAGAAAGTAAAGTAATTGACTCTTTCTTATTTTTTTACTCTCTACCACTTCACATCCATAGTAATTTAGGAAGCACGAAATGCCAAAAAGTTCAAAAAATTTGTGTTAGAGGCCAACAAATACTGGACATGACCCTTATGAAAAATTGGCTCACAAAACAATAATTAGTTATGGAGTAAATTCAATTGTGTTGTTCTTTAAACAATAAACAAATTATTTTTATAGCTCATTAATTATTATGATTTGTCAAATTTTCATCGCCAGGTTAAAGAAAAAAAATATTACTCTTAAAATACGGGATCCTATATATATTATAGCTAAATTAATTCACACAGTTGACGAATTGAAAAGAGACTGTTTATTTAACCTTAAACTTTTTATATATTTAATATATGTTAGTAGAAATTTATATATGTTTATATATTCAGTTTGTATTATTTTTACATTTATTTAAAGAATCAACTTCCCAAAATATCATAATGGAAAACAAATAAAAAATTCATGTTGCCCTAATGCTTCTCTTCCCTTCTACTCATTGGAATTCTTTTTTCTGATAAGCCAGCAGGTTGTATTTTTATCTTTTTATCCTACATTGGTGTTTGTACACAGTGATAACTTGAACCTACTATCATTGAATTGATTGAAAATTGAGCTGACCATCACCATATTTGCAGGATTATTCCCCCATCACAATTGTAAGTGGTTCTAAATTCATTTACTTCAGTGGGCAGTATGAATCATAATCCTGTCGCATGTACGTTATTGCATCCTTTGTCTATGAAAATGTAGATATGATATCCGGAAACACAGTGGCAAAGCCCCGTTGGTTGATGAAAAAACTTGTTTCTGCTACATTGTGTGGTAAGTAAACAAGTCCAAAAGGTGGTAAGTGGTGTAGGGATTGCCAACTAGACGTCCAATGTTATCAACCAATAAGAATAAAGATAAAGAGCTCCAAAGATAAGAAACACTGGGCCCACCAAGTTATATTTAATACAGTGCTTGTAAGCCATGAAATGAAACTCATGCCGCAAGCAACCATCAATAACCCTTCATTGTTTCCATTGCTTCATTTTAATTCTTCAATGGCGGCTTCAACAATGACTCTCTCTTCACCATCTTTTGCCGGGAAGGCAGTGAAGCTTCCACCATCCGCCCCGGAGATTCTCGGAGGTGGACGGATCACCATGAGGAAGACTGTCACTAAGGCATCCAGAAGCCCATGGTACGGCCCAGATCGAGTTTTGTACTTGGGCCACTCTCCGGTGAGCCTCCATCCCATCTCACTGGTGAATTTCCAGGTGACTATGGTTGGGACACTTCTGGGCTTTCCGCTGACCTGGAGACCTTTGCCAAGAATCGTGAGCTCGAGGTGATCCACTGCAGATGGGCCATGTTCGGAGCTCTCGGGTGTGTATTTGATATTAAATCCATTGCTGTCACCGATGAAACTCAAGCCGCAAGCACTTATCCTTAACCCTTCTTTACAGTGCTGTTGTTTCTTTCAACAGTTGTCAATTTAATTCTTCAATGGCGGCTTCAACAATGGCTCTCTCTTCCCCATCTTTTGCTGAAAAGGCAGTCAAACTCTCCCCCTCTGCCCCGGAGCTTCTCGGAGGTGGAAGAATTACCACGAGGAAGAGTATCAAGCCCATCCCATCCGGCAGCCCATGGTACGGCCCAGACCGAGTCTTGTACTAGGGCCCACTCTCTGGTGAGCCCCCATCCTACCTCACCTGTGAATTCCCCGGTGACTATGGTTGGGACACTGCTGGGCTTTCCGCTGACCCGAAGACATTTATCAAGAACCGTGAGCTCGAGGTGATCGGCCATGCTTGGAGCTCTCGGGTGTGTATTCTCGGAACTCTTGGCCCGCAACGGTGTCAAGTTCGGTGAGGCCGTGTGGTTCAAGGCCGAAGCCCAAATCTTCAGTAAGGGTGGACTTGACTACTTGGGCAACCCCAGCTTGATCCATGCCCAAAGCATTCTCGCCATCTGGGCTACACAAGTCATATTGATGGGTGCTGTTGAGGGTTACCGCATTGCCGGTGGGCTGCTCGGTGAAGTGACTGACCCACTCTACCCCGGTGGAAGCTTCGACCCATTGGGCCTTGCTGATGATCCAGAGGCTTTTGCTGAGCTTAAGGTGAAGGAGATCAAGAATGGTAGACTTGCCATGTTTCCCATGTTTGGATTCTTCGTTCAGGCCATTGTTACCGGAAAAGGTCCATTGGAGAACCTCGCCGACCACCTTGCTGACCCGGTTAATAATAATGCATGGGCCTACGCCACAAACATTGTCCCCGGAAAGTAAGAGAAAAAGAAGAAGTCTGAGTTGTGAATGCATGAAGTGGGAGTTTAATTTTTAATTCAAGAATGAAGATGAGAATGGTGTTACGTAATTCATTTATTTTTTTGGGTAAATCTTTGCGTCATGTAAATTGGTGTGAATGAAGACATAAATTCTGAATTTTGTGCATTATCTGAGTGGATGTTCTTAATTTTTCAACAATTTCTCATCATCTCTCCGTCAACTCGTATGCTTCTGCATTTACCGTTGTAAGTTGTTAGAGAATTGTGCACTCGACTTTTCACAATTAAGTTAGTAAACACTCGCTAGTATATATATAGATCACACGTAGAACCTTGTTTTATTTAATTCAATTTAATTTTATTATTGCAATTATTTTGGGGGGTAAAATTCGATCAATCCTAGCACCTTGGTGTATATGTTATCACAATTTTTAATTCATATTTTAAAAGCATTTGATCTATATATAGTTACCTATATAAAAAGCATACTAGTTCAAATAGTTATATGCACATATATAAGAGTGTATTTGTGTGTATGTATATATATATATTGTTTTACCCTTGTTGTCACTGTTGTTACATTATTATAAGGCTCAAATCCTCTGCGATGTACTCCTACAATTTTATGCTCCTCGTACTCTAATTTTAAAAATCAACCACACATGATATAAATAACAATAATATATTCAGCATAAAAACTATGCTCTTTATGATTTGGCTTGGGAAAGAATTACTCAGTTTTATTATTTCTACGTTAATTTAAAGAATCAATTGCTCAAAATACGATCATGGAAAGTAATTTTTGAATTGCAATTATAAGAAATTACGTTGTAGTGCAGATGAAACTAGCTTAATTTATTTCATTTTTTAAATTATTTATACCTACATGTACATACAACAGTTTGACAATTTCATAAAGTATGGACTATTACTTACTGCAATGATAAAAAAATTATCTGACAAGCTTAACAACTCTGAATTTAAGTCTTAATACAATCGTCTTATAAAAATAATGTGAAAATTACCGAAGAGAGAGAGAGAAAAAAAAAGGTTCCATTGAAATGACCACTAATTTTGAATGTTGGTGGATTAGAAATCCTAATTCGTAACCAAGACGTACTACATGCAACATGAAGAGATCCAAACCTATAGTCTGCATGCGTATATTAATGAAGTATTCTAATTAGTTGATAATTTTGTAAAAAACATTAGCATTGTAATTCATGTTGAGTAGATCTTCTTTTTTCTTTTTCTTTTTCTTCTTCTTTTTTTTTTTTTTTTTTTTTTTTTTTTTTTTTTTTTTTTTTGTAAGCTTTATAAATAAGAAATATGTACAACAAAGCAACCAAAGAAGGAGAACTTCCATGGCTTAGAACACTACAAAAACACCAACATGTTACATAGTCTATAGAACTATTACTAATCTGAGCCTATCAAGAGTTGTGACAGACGAAAGCAGTCATTGTTGCAGTAGAAACCATGATTGACCTCTTGCATACGCACAGCCTTGTATGAAGAGTTGTTGCATAGCTTCTACATTGCCAATCTTACTCAATTCAGCAGCATTTCTTAACTTGAGAGAGGCAAATCTAGCTCTGATGCATCCTTTGATGAGATTAATGATTTGGTAGGTTGTTGCAGACTTGTTCCTGAAGGCTCTTGAATTTCTCTCCTGCCAAATGAAGTATATGGCACAAGAAAGGAGGAGCTTGTGAGTGATGAAGTGCTGTTGTGTCCATGTTGATGAGCACCAAGCAATCAGGTCTCTCCATGAATCTGGTTTGATGTAGAAGCCTGCAGCATGCTGTACAAAATCCCAAATGGTACAACTGAATTTACACTTGAAAGAGAGAAATTTATGTCACCACAAATGAAGACTAAAGCAAGAGTGTTGGATTCAAAGCTGGTGTTAAAAAAAGTATGAATTTATTACTGGATGTTTAGATCTTGTTGTTCAAGAGTTGTAGAGAGAAATTTATGTCACCACAAACGAAGACTAAAGCAAGAGTGTTGGATTCAAAGCTGGTGTTAAAAAAGTATGAATTTATTACTGGATGTTTAGTCATGTGATTCACAACAACAATTCTTGATATTATCAAATCCTAGCTAACTCGTTAAAACTCTTGATATTATCAATCATGGTATCCTAAACAAATCTAGAAAGTGGAGATCGAATAGGTCGAGAAGGAATGAATTACTATTTTCACCGATTTAATCTTTAATAGACAAAATTGATATATAAAACTCTAATACAATTTTTACCCCAATCAAACCATTCATAAATTAATAAATCTCAATAAAGTTTTTAAATATAAGAAATATGTGGAGGATTTTTGTGAAAATGTTGTAGCTATGAGACCAAAAGAAGGTGAAAAGATGAATTCATAAATTGCATGAACAATGGTTCTTTTTCCTAATTAACTGTTTTTGGAAATACTGGAATCTACTATGAATTGGTGTTTGGGTTCAAATCGATCTCATCATGTGAAAACTGAGCGAGTATCAATCAATTTGTCATATTCAATTATTTAATTGCATAATGCAGTAGCATGTTATTGCTTTCTTTATCCATCAAGATGTAGCAATATCTGGTAACACAGTACGTGGCAGAGTCCCATTAGTTGATGCAAAAACTCGTAAAATTTCATGAGATTTTGCGTACACTAGTAGTGTGTGTACGTAAACAAGTCCATGTGTAGAGATTGCCAATTGGACATCCAATGAATGCATCTCAAGCTTTCAAAATATTATCAACCAATAAGAATGAAGATAAAGATCTCCAAAGATAAGGACCCCTTGTGCCTCCAGCTTATATTAATACAGTACGTGCTTGTAACCCATGAAACTCACAACCCACACCTATAACCCTTCATTTAACTCTTTGTTTCTTTCAATAGTTTTTACTTCACTTATTCAATGGCTGCTTCAACAATGGCTCTGTCTTCACCATCTTTTGCCGGAAAGGCAGTCAAGCTTTCCCCGTCCGCCCCGGAGATTCTCGGAGGTGGAAGGATCACCATGAGGAAGACAGTCCCCAAGGCATCCGGTAGCCCTTGGTACGGTCCAGACCGAGTCTTGTACTTGGGCCCACTCTCCGGAGAGCCACCATCCTACCTCACTGGTGAATTCCCTGGTGACTATGGTTGGGACACTGCTGGCCTTTCCGCTGACCCGGAGACCTTTGCCAAAAACCGTGAGCTTGAGGTGATCCACTGCAGATGGGCCATGCTCGGAGCTCTCGGGTGTGTATTCCCTGAGCTCTTGGCCCGTAATGGTGTCAAGTTCGGTGAGGCTGTATGGTTCAAGGCCGGAGCCCAAATCTTCAGCGAGGGTGGACTTGACTACTTGGGCAACCCCAGCTTGATCCATGCCCAAAGTATTTTGGCCATCTGGGCCTCACAAGTCATCCTGATGGGCGCTATTGAGGGATACCGTATTGCTGGTGGGCCGCTTGGTGAGGTGACTGACCCACTCTACCCCGGTGGAAGCTTTGACCCATTGGGCCTTGCTGATGACCCAGAGGCTTTTGCTGAACTTAAGGTGAAGGAGATCAAGAATGGCAGACTTGCCATGTTTTCTATGTTTGGGTTCTTTGTCCAGGCCATCGTGACCGGAAAAGGCCCATTGGAGAACCTCGCTGACCACCTTGCGGATCCAGTCAACAACAATGCTTGGGCCTATGCCACTAACTTTGTCCCCGGGAAATGAGAGAGAAAAAAAAGACTCAAGTTGTGAGTTCAATTTAATTTAAAGAATTAATATGAGAATGGTGCGTCATGTAAATTTGTGTGAGTGAAATTTGAAATTCTGATTGTTTTGCCACTAGTAACTATCTCAGATTCTCATCTGTGTGAATGAATGTTCTTAATTTTCCTTCAATCAATCTCTCATCTCTTTATTTGGCTTTTACATTTACTGTTGAAAATTGAGACTTGTGATTTAATAAAAAGATTTAATCCATGAAGGTGAAACATATATTCAGAGATACAAACCCTAAAAAGGCTATTTGATGGTTAAACATACCATACCCATCAAGCGAGGAAGATGCGACCACTACCACCATCTATCCACACCAATTTCTTCTCTTCTCTCAAACAGGTAAATCTCAAAACCCCCATCTCTCAATATCTCTATATATATACATAACACATAATGCATATGTGCTTTTAATTATCTTATTTACATGAACAGGTGGAGAAGAGATTGAAATTAGAACACCCATCACAGCCTCCCACTCCCCTTCCCCACAACCGCCGCAGCCGCCGCCGCCGCCACCACCACATCAACAACAGAACCCTGCTCCTCCACCACCACCGGAAAGCAATTATACATCAACAGAGTCTCTCAGTACCCCTATATACCTCAACTTGGACCAACCCACCAACAGCAGCAGCTCAATCCTCCAAGACAGTGAACCCCCTCAACAATTCCTCTCAAATTCCCCTGATTTCCCACCAACCCATGAAGACCCACCTCAACCAAACAATGAACAAGACCCACAAACAATGAATGAAGTTGATACGAATGGCATTGACAGCATTGAATTGTTAATCCAATTATTGGGTCTATCAGATTGTAAAGAAGAGGAGCAACAATGGGTTGGTTTGGGTTTAGAGAATGATGGCGGCGATCGTGGTTGTGATGAGGAGTTTTTGGCCAAGATTGTTGGAAGGAAGGGGCCAAAGTGTGGAAAGGAAGTGGAGAGGTTGGAGGGATGGATTAAGCACTTTTTGAATGATGGTGGGGAAGAAAAGATTGAACCTTTGAGGTTGGCTCATTTGCTTTTGGGGAAAGCTGCTTTAGTTTCAGAGGGTAGTGATGGTTTTGGTGGATTTGAGTTCCCCTCAACTATAGAAGAATTCTTGCAGAATGATCCACCAGAGGAATAGGTCTCTTTTATAGAACAACTTCATGAGAGCACCTTCTCACTGTTTTATTGTATTCATGTGTCATCAAAGATCTCATTTTATAAACAAGTATGGTTTACTCTTTGATCATCTGTAGCAAATTTATGAACTTGTTGATAGATGTTTGCTTATCTTATGCACTACGTTACAGACTTACAGTCAATGGTTAATATTTGAAGAAAGATTTATTTGCGCCTATTGATGAGCTTGTGGAGGCAAAAACTAGGGGTGAGAGGAAAACTCTAGCAAGCAGATAAGGAGGAGTTTATTTAAGTTGGGGCGTCTGTGTTTCACACCTGCATCATTTCTTGTTTTGAGTGGCCCATTGATTGTGTAAATCTGTAAATTCTACGCTGAGTGGTTCGTGATTGGAGCAACAAAGGGATGAGAGGAAACTACATTAGGTTAGCTGAAGTAAACTAGGTGATGGAAAGTGTGAAGGGGGGGTATGGGATTTAGGGACCTAGCCTCCTTAAACCTTGCCCTGTTGCCTGTTGGTTAACAATAGCAAAAGGTACTTAAGGAAGATATTACTGCCATTGCTCTTTTACGAATGCAACTAATGGAAGTAGCCCATCTTGGATATGGCAAAGCATTCTATAGGACGGGAAGCTCTGCAGCAGGTATTAGATAGAGGGAGAGGAATGGCAAAGAAATTAATGTGTGGTAAGATCACTTTCAGAGCTAGGTCCAAGCAATGAGTTTGCTCGGGAGTGTGGTTCGTTTCAGACCTCATTGATCAAATTACTTGTGGTTGGAAGGAAGATCTAGTATATCAAATCTTCCATGAGGGTAATGCACTGAAGATGACACGGATTCCTTTTTGTAGAGTGGGGGATTCGGATAAGTTGATTTTGTAGCATACTAATTAGGGATCTTAGCCCTTCCTGTAATGAATGACCAGATATAATCCTTCACTTTGTTTAGCAAATGTTATTTTGCTAGACAGGTTTAGTACTCTTCAATATTCATTGTTGGAAACTCAATTTGTGAACTCTTGGTGGCAGATTTTGGTGGAAGTTAGAAGTTGTTGGACTAGAAGTGGGATATAATGCTGTTTACATCCTTTGGAGGTCATCGAAATCTTGCAGTGAGTTTTTGTTTAGCGAAGTCCAGATGCCATCCTTTACAGGTTGCGGATGTTGCTCCACAGGGCAGCTGATGAGTTTAGTATGGTGCTATCTCAAGAAGGGCATAGTGGAAGGAAGAAAAAGTCCCCAGTGAATGTCCTCGCTCTTGTGGCGCCCTCCTAACCCTAGTTTTTCAAGCTTGATGTTGATGGCTGAGTGGGTTATGGAACGAAGTGGTATGGTTGCAGTAGTGCTCAATGAGTCAGGGAATATGGAATTGCATTCTGCAAAGAGATGCTCAAGGCTTGAATAGGGTGTGAAAAAATTCAGAGATACTTCCCTCATTAGGTCCATGTTATTCTTGATTTTTTGCTAAGTAGGTCAATGTTATTCTTCAAGATGTATATGCAAACTCTATAAATAAGATGTATATGCAAACTCTATAAATAAGATGAACATGTTTCTGTGGAGTAAAATCTAATAACCAAAAGTCAATGGCATAATGTGACAATGAAACAGTAAAATTGGAGCGCAAAACAAATTAGTGATAATTGCATTTGATATGCTCTTAGATTTATGGGTTGCCATTTCAAAATCAAGAAGTCGTTGATTGTTTTAGATGCCCGTTGAGTCTGTCTATATATGAATATCATGTTTAGCCAATTACATGACAATGCTCTTGGTTCTACAATTGAAGATATGTGGCAAGAAGGGATTTGCAATTCCAGAATAAAAAAATTGAAAGTGCAAGAAGTAAGGAATTTGCAATGCCAGAATAAAAAAATTTAATGTGACAGCTGTGGGATTTGAACCCACGCCCTTTCGGACCAGAGCCTAAATCTGGCGCCTTAGACCACTCGGCCAAACTGTCTGATGTTACTCGAAACTTAAATTGGATTTTGACATCTAATTGTTATTTTGTTAAAGTAGGTTAAGTATCGGACTTTTACTTCAAAGCCTTGGAAAGACAAAACTTCTACTAATGTTCTTTTAGAGTATTTTCACTCAAATCTTCAAAATTTTATATGTCAAATGATATGATAAATTGAGATATGAAATTTTGATATATCTATATATAAGAACTAGTTAAATTTATTAATGTTTTATTAAATTTATTTATTTATTAAGATCTATCAAGTTTTTCCAAAATGTAAATTTTAATTATACGTGAAACTCATATATTAAAATAATAGAAATAATTCATTTTGTATATTAAAATATTGTTTGTTAAATTTGACATATTTAATTATATGACAAATGTCAATTATGCATTTAGCTATTCGATTGAAGGAGTTCTTCGTATCAAATATAGCGGTTGAACGCACCACCTAAGAATTAAAGTATTGGATGAAAATGATAATGAAAAAAGACTTTGAAGAGAGCAATGCTAAATTAGGAAATATAATACAATACGAAAAGTAAGTGCATGTCACGCAAAAAAAAATTGAAGTGTGATAAGAGAATTCAAAATTAGTATTCCAACCGAATAGTTCAATTAGCCCAATAGCCACGAATAAGCAGATAAGACGGGTTTTGCTTAAATTTGAAGTAAGAATAGAGATAAGCCGTTGTTGCGCATTTATATTTCAAAGGGGCGACCATAATTTAAATAGTGAGCTGGTTCTAGATGACAAGATTACAAGGATAACTATTAATTCAAATTCAAGATGGGATTTCATAGAATCCTATAGGATCACAACAGCTCGACTTACTGGTTACAAAGGACAGGCTGGCCAAACTAAAGAGGTACGGAATATTGAACACATTAAATTCCTGTTTTTACTTGAGAGCTCCATTGATTAACTTGATCGTCGGAGAGCTTTTGGAAGGCACCACGTCGATGTTGGTCAAGGTTCACCTCTTTGATGCAGAAAACGGGTAGCGTTTCGGATCGTGTAGAATATGGCTTCAACAAAGTGCAATTTGGAAATGTAAATGAATTGAAATACAGAAACTTGTATTGAAAAGATAAATGACAATTTATAAAGTTAAATTTGTTGTGTGGTTTGGAGGGGTTTTCATGAAGCTCCAAGTATTCTATTTATTGTGTGGACATTTTTTGTTGGACAAAGGGAGTGTGCTATGTAATGTCAATTTAAGGTTTGATTTTCTTCTAGTTAGGTTCGATTTTTATTTATTTATTTTTGTACTAAGTGTAGAGAAATAATGACATTCAATAAATCTACTCCTGTCACGAGATGCATGTTAAATATTTAAATTTAGAACACCTCTAATCGTGTCCAACACAGGCAATGGTGATTTTTGTGAAGAGAGACCCAAATTGTATTTTAGAGAGAATTTATTTTTGAGCTTATTTTTTAGAGTTTTTCTTTTGTTTTTAGTTTTTATTACTGGACCAACAACTTCAAAAAGATTGAGATAAAGATTATTTGTTGCATTTGTCGAGATAGGTTGGATGGCCCATATTCCTTATTCGAGCCCAAGAGGAGGTGGTTGTCACCTAGTGCATCACAGAGAAAGTTGTTAACATTTATATGTGGAACACTTTAATTGTGTAAACGAGTTTTGAAAGAGGAGAATGTGTAAATCAGGTAGTATCTACACAGGTGGAATGTATATTGACAAAAACATTTTTTTTTAGTTGGGAATACTGTACACACAAAATTTGTAATCTGTAAATAAGAAACAAAATTGGGAGCAAATAAATTTTTATTAATTTATAAAGATGGAGTCCAATCCTCTGTAATAATCTTTACAAAGAATAAGGTTCTCTGATTCGATCTCCTTTTTTGTTGGTTGGATCCAAGGGCTGCACGAGGTTGATCTTGAATCACCGTGGAATTTGGATGAAGAATGATACGATTTGATGTGCTTTTTGTTGATTACCGTGGAATTTGGATGAAGAACGACACGATTTGATGTAGTTGTTGTTCTTCGTCTTCAGAGAGGATTTGTTGAATTTGGTGAAGAACGACACGACTTTGGATGTGCTTGGTGTTATTCGCCTTCAGGTTTGCCTTCTGGATTTCTGATTCTCTCAATTTCTGGACCTTCTGGATTTCTGAGTCTCTGGATTTTTTGACTCTGAATTTCTGGACTCTGAATTTATGTCCCTTCCTTCTTCCTTCAGGCCTCTATTTATAGGTGTCTTGGATTAATAGGATAATGACAAGTGTCATCTCCCTAGATAAGGATAAAATAATAACTATTCTAAATATATTTTATTAGGAATAATTATCTTTTTTATTTAACCATCTAGGCTGGATTAATTAAATAATTTAAGTGGACCAAGTTTGAACTAATTAAATAACTTAATTAAACATTAGGTCCATATTTAATGGGTCCATTTGTCAAAACCAAAACCCACTAAAATTTTAGTGTCTACAAGTACAAAACTCCCTAGACTAAAAGAGTTCATGGTCATATGCACATTTTTAGTATTGGTGTAACGCATATATTACGAAAAGTTGGTGCACGTGACATTGTGGTTTTGGATTTTGGGTTTTATGTTTTGAAACAAAGTCATTTTTATAGTTATTATTTATTTATTTTATTTTTTGAAAGGTAAATTATAATGACTTCTCTTGGGGTTCGTTTGGTTAGACAGAAATAGATGGTGAAAAATGAAAGTGAAAGAAAGTGAAGTGAATGAAAAGAAAATTAAGTTTCCATGGTGCATTTGGTTAGTATGAATTTTTTTCAAGAAAGTTGTGAAAAAATATTATGTTGTTAGTTTGGATGGAATGAAAGAAAAAAGAAATTGATTATACTTGTCAAAATTGCCCTTATAATTTTAAATACTAAAGATATAAATAAATTTGAGTAAAATTAATTCATGCATCAAATTTTGTTGATAATAATTTTCTGAATTTGTATGAGACACCAAGTCTCACCTGAATTACTTTACTTAAATATATATATATATATATAATTTGGATATTACAATTTATATAGTAATTGTAAGGACTTTGATGAAATCGAATAAGATTAGGATTGTTTCACTAGATATTTGTTTATATTAGAATAACCAATACCAATAGAATTTTACATATAATAACCAAGTTCATGAGGGTTTTCTTTTTGAATTCAACTAAAATTATATAACTATAGAATATTTTGTATTATTCTTTTCAATAAACATATATATTCCCTAAAACTTATAATAACTTTCGTATCCAAATTCTAAAATTTAGTTGATATGTATATATACATATTGTAAATTAATATAATGCACTTAAAAAATACCCACCATAACATGTTATATGTATATATGTTCCCCAATTTCATGAGTTTATTTACTTTTGGAAAGAAAAAAAAAAAAAAATGTCTCTCAAAAAGGGAGAAAAAGATAAAGGAAACCCAACTGATAATTATGAGTATAATAGGAATTTAAAATATAACTTCACAACTTTCCCGATAAACAAATTTTTTCGCGCATTTTAGAAAAAATTACCTACTTTCGGGAATCCCAGTTTCTTGAAAACTTTCCGTTTCATCCTAAACAAACTCATAAAAAGGTTACATATTTTTTTATTCTTTTCCTTTCTTGCTAGTTCTCTAACCAAATGAACCCTTATAGTTTGAAAGTATTACACACAAGTAAAATCATTCAAACATTTCATAATTTTGACATGAGCTAGGTGGCCACCTGTCGGAAATTGACTTTAAGGGTAAAAGATAAGTAACACCTATTATCAAGAAATTATATATATATATATATATATAAGGTTTGACTTTGAAGGATTTGATAAGGTTTTGAAGGAAGCTTCTATATTCAGTCATGGTTCGGGACTTAGCCCACAACTAAATTAAATAATTTGGTGAGATGAGAAGTTGCAATTGAATCCGCCCGGTGGTAATGATGTGAAGCAGAGGAAGATGAAATTGATTATGCATTATTATTATTATTATTATTTTTACCTTAGTGGTGGGTCGGTAAAGTGGCAGGTGAAAGATTTTGTTGATGTTTTATGTTTTGGAATTTTTAAAAGTAGTGGTGTTTGTAGCAAAATAAGAGAGAAGAGTATATCGTCTATAGAGAGAGAGAGAGAGGGTGATGATGATGTTTGAAGAGAGAGAAGGTGAAGGACGCAGTGGTGGAAGTGGAAGTCGGACGACGACGATGATGGCGGTGGTGGTGGTTTGTCAGTGGCCTGAGTGATTTTGCACTGCCCTGCGCTACAAGTCAAGGGGAGTTTTGAGCAATTCGCCCTAATTAAATCCCACCAAAAACGCGCATTCGATTGCTAACAGATCCAACCATGCATTTCATATAGCAAACTTGATATAAAGGCGAGCACTATGGATTGTTACGACAAATGAGGCATGAAGAAAATAACATGCTAATTCAGCAACCTAAGAGCTATAGATTTAAAGCAATTGAAATTATTCTCTCATTGAATCAAACCTCTTCTGCAATAATGTACCTCGTTAAAAGGCTAATCCAGCAACCTAATGCATATCAAGCAGTAATCAAATGGTAGACAAAACCATACCAACATCCATTATGGAGTTAATCCACATATACAGATCATGCAAATACGTGGGACAGCAGCAAGACGATCCAAAAGTTGTTTTCAGACTTGCTCACATGAGAGCAGGCACGTGCTGAAGGAGAAGAGAGAGGGGAGGGTGACCGATAAAGGAACTTTCCACATGATCCGACCAAAGCAAATTGAAGAAAGAGGGTGTAAATCAGATGAGCAACACAACGGAAAGCTTTCGGATTCTCCTCAGTGAACTGTCTAATTGACATAAGAGAGTAGAACCCTAACAATTGGGGCAAGCAGTTGAAAAGAATCAGTAGTGCACCACTACTTATTGGGGCCGCAGTGGAAAATGGGGCCAGGGAACATGATGCATGCACAATAATAACTTTAATGTCTCAAAATCCTCAGCATTCAGAAGATACTAAAACATTAGAAAGAAAAGGAAATACTGAAAGATTTGATCAAGACATGGTTGGATATGCAGTAATCAGTATCCAATAAGATTATAAACTATTTATGAGTCCAGAACGAAATAATAACTACCCATGATTAACAACAAAATATAAATTAATTAATTAATTAAATGTACATGAGTACATGAGTACATGACAGGAGAGTGCATTAATAAAAAAATTTAAAGCAGCGGTAGGAAACAGGCCAGAAATTTAGTCATTACAACCATCAACTAGGATAGAGTATGCATGGCACACATCAACTCCCACCCTTCCCCCCAAATTCCCCCATAAACCGTACTCTCAGAATTCATATTTTTTTGCCCAAATTCACCATTCAGCAGCAATACCCAGAATTTCTACCAAAACCACACGCAGAACACTAGGCAACATTATTCTCTTATGACCAACCTGTTGAGAGAAAGAGAGACCAATCCTTTGAAGGACAACTCATATGGTATACTAGTAATACAAGGAGAGTTCAATTTGTGTTAACTCAGCAGGGATGCATATTTATTCTAATTGCCTCCAACCTTTTGTGCTTCTACCTTAAGAGACTTGAGGTACCTAACAGCTTCATCAAGAACAGCAACGGTGCTCATTCGATTGCCACCACCAGGTATGATTCCTCTCAGTAGCTTCATTGTCTTCCTCATGTTCTGGCGCTTCCTTTCACTGTTAAAGCTCCTACCACTGCTAGAGAAATTCTCTAAAGATGATAGCCTACTCTTTCTGGTTTTTGAACCATAAGTGGAGCAAGAATCAGCAGAATCCAGTTCACAGTTTTCATGACTCCGTGCCGTGCTGACCTCTTCCTCATCATATTCTTCCTCTTCTACCTCTTCCAAGCTCAACAAAGCATCAATATCATCTGAATCTTCTTTCAGCAATGAGGAGATTTCTCTCACCTCATTATGTGCATCATTCCTATCACCATTATCTTGGAAGCAAGAGGAATGAAGATTTAAACCAGGATAACAGAATTTGGGAGCAGCTGCTGGGTGGAACATAATCTGGCTTCTCTTATCACTCTGATCAACGATAATGAAATTCTTTGGGCAGAACTCAAAGGGCTGAAATTCAACTCCATGGAAGGGCCTTGGGTGCTTTACACCTGAAGGTAAATCTATCCCACCAAAGGTGGACATAATGGGTTCATTATCCATGTAACTACCTCTCACTTGATTTGAAAGAGGGACCACTGGCTCCTGATGGAGAACTTGTTGGTCACAGTGCATGACTAGTCCTACTGAATAACCAAGTTTGCTGAAAGACAAATCTATGGCTTCTGGGACCGGATTATTCAAGATTCAATTAAATAAAAGTTCTTGTAGCAATGAGAACACTAAATAATACACCTAAGCTGTTTCCATTACAGAATAATAGTGGTGTCTGTGGCAGAGGTGTCTACTGCAAGTTCACATTTATCAAATTAATGTTTCATTACTTAATACCGCCTTCTAATGTATGAAGAAAACCAGGGATAGTGAGCCCCAATGTCCCAAGGCTTTTTATACTAGACTACGTAACAGGTTTCAGCAACTGGCGGAAATACTCAGCCTGCAAAGCAAATGACAAGCCATGAGTATTACTGACATGCCATCAAGACGATAGAGAGAGAGAGAGAGAGTTCATAATATGAATTTACATCTTGGAAGTGATGAATGAGAAACACCAAGATGCAAACTGAACGAAAACTTCGATTTCAACACCATCTTATCAAATTATAAAGACATAGCGCTCACTGATAAAGGACATCCAAAGCATGTAGGCATGTTTGTCAACAAGGTATAACCTAATTGAAATCAATTTGTGTTTCCAAATTGAGCTAGGATCTTTATGCTGGAGTGATATTCGCAGAATTCTAAATTTAATTTCAATCAGACACAACATATGCAATTTCAAGACTTTTCAAGCAATGAGATTCATTTTGATTACAAGGAGTAAGATTGCAAATTAATGCAAAAATAAATTCTATCAATAGCTGTTAGACAATGAAATGGCACACTTTAAAAGAACAGAAAGTTGCACAAAATCCTCAAGTTATACAAGGATGGAAGTTAGAACACACCACCAACAAAAAAATTGACAAACAGATAGAAGAAAAGGTTGCTGCTGAATATAAATCCTTATTGCAACTTCTTCCATCTCACCTATAGGCCATCACTCATTGTTCATCCCAACTAAGGGGTGAATAGGTACAGAGTTACAGTGAACTGGAAATAGACTTAACTTTTGCACAAAGTGTCTGCTATCGTGTCCATAAATGAATAAAAATATTACTACTATAGTACCTCATTTACACACTGAAACTAAAGGTTCTAAAACAAGAAGAAGTTGTTTTTGAAAATTAGATAAAAATAGAGGTTATTTTCAGTAACTACTAATCTACATTTTTAAAAATGGAGAAAATTATATAAAATAATTCACTACATATTGACAAGTGTATTGAATTCTTTTTTCTCTCTCCCCAAAAATAAATCATTAAACATATTTCTCCTATCTTCATTTTAATAAAATAAAAAATAAAATAAAAAAAAAAAACAAAACAAAAAAACAAAAACGAGAATAAAAAATAGTTTCCAGAAAGATAGCAGGCAGGACCTAACATTCTAGGTTGCTTAACTAGAAATATGAAACCTATTTTACATAAGCCATTTAAAAAATAATAATCACATTAGTACATGAGTACATGAAAATGAGAATATTTCTTAGTACTCACCTGACAAACTTGCATCAATTGGTAATAAGCAATGAACCCAACTCTCATTTTAATCTTCCCAACTTCTTTCACTGCTCTATATCTCTTTAGTGTGACCGCAATGTACATTCTCACTCCTCCAACCGATATTAGATGGGAAAGATAAAATCACAGAATGCCTTCACAGATCAAAGGGATTGATTGACCTACAAAAGTAAGCACAAAAACCCTCATAAGCAATTACCAATCTGTTGAATATATATATATATATATTTTTATAGTTTCTTTGGGTAACAGCGCACCCCACTGTTGGAGGGCTAATTCTGATCACAAACAGCATATTAATCAATTTTTGGTGTTCGAGAATCAGAATGTCCACGAAATTCTCTTCTTCTTTTTCCTTTTTTTCTTTTTTCTTCTTCTTCTTCTTCTTCTTCTTCTTCTTCTTCTTCTCCTCTCTCTCTCTCTCTCTCTTTCTATCTCTCAATGGATTCTCAGCAATCAAACAGGGCATAAAAGGAAAAGCATCAATATGATTTAGTGTTTTCCCCTTATTTATTCATATCTTTGGTAAGTAGTTTTCCCCTTAATTAAATCATGACATTTGTCAAAATGCTTAAGTAATTTATGAAATTATGAAGCTGAAATTTGGAATAGAACACTGAACACCTAAACGGAGGACATTTCTCACCAGAACAAATCAAATTACAGTATCACACGAAAGAACACCACCAAGAGGACGCACTTCCAGCAATAATTCACAGACGAAGACCACGGCATGTTGAAAGACTCCTCCAGTCCCAAATTACTAGAAATGCTGTCTTCAAACAATACAATTAAATCCCAATAATCAGTACGAATACAACTGTTTCATACATAAAATAGAAAAATCAACAACATTCACAAAAAATCAAACCCTCAAAAGACAAATAAACTGAAGAAGACAAAAAAAAAAAAAAAAAAACTTTAAATGGCACAAACTAAAACAATTGATTCTTAAAGAAATCCACAACTCTACAGTCATTATCAAGTCAGAATCCTAAAACAACTGTATGCATAGCTATACATGATGAACATAATCGAGAACAATACACTGCAGATATTATACCAATTTTCTGGATTGCACGAAAAGAACAGATCATGTAAATAATCAACGAACCAGAATATGAATATACACGATCTTGGAGGAAATCAACAAGAAATTATCTAAAAAATAAAGTTCCTATCCATTAGAAACAAACGTACTATGCGTGTATATATAAAATTAAAAGAAAAGTAAAGAATAAAATGCTGCAATTGGAATAAATAAATTAGAAGCACAGTGACTAGGAGAGAAAACACATACTCAAATTAGGGTTTCTCAGAAGATGAAAACTTGAAGACCACAGGCTTTCGAATACGCTAGATTTCCGGAACAGAGAGAGAGAGATTGGGAAGTGGAGGTCCTGGATGTTACTTTCTCCCTCTCTGGCTCTTTTGTTATTGACTTATAGGAGGATGTGCCAAGGCTACGACATGGTGGAGTCAAACAAGGAGATTTGGAGCCGTTAGATGGGGTATTGTTTCTGTCACCGATTTATCACCGTTGGATCTGGCGCGCGTGATGGAGTGTGGGGCTCACAACTCACCTGTGTTTGACAATAGGGTGTCTACAGTTCTTTTAGTGAATTGGCAATTAGTTTTGATTGCTCAGTTTTGCCATTATACAGGGAAGACATGATCAATCAAAACTTTTAGAAATAAAAGATACATTTAAAAATCTAAAATGATAGTAAGCCTATTGTATTGGAAAATGATTGGGACATGATTTTATATTTTTGTATACATGATCAAGTAAAATTTTTAGATTGGACAATTTATTTTAATTTCCAAGACTTAAAATTATTTTTCATTTTTAAATTGTATTCTCTAAAAATTTAATTACGCACCAAGCATTACACTATCCATTTATTATTGTGATGTCATTTTTTAATTTTATTACTTTAAAAGATAATATATATATATATATATTTTTAATCTATTATCATGATAAAATTACAAAAATAAATATGATAAATATGCCCAAAAGGAGAATATAGGAAATCAACTGCAGAAAATTTTGATCCAATTTGCAAACCTTTTGCAATCGTCCAAATGTGACACTAATTAAGAAGCATGAGTTACTCAATGCAAAAGAAAATATGTTGGTATTTTCTTTCAAAGTATTTTTTACCGCTTTTTTGTTGTCGTCGCCTTCCACCGTAATCACTATTTCATTGACCTGCATTAGCGTCACCCTCCAACACTGTTGCCTTCACATTTTGTTTTTCTTTTTTTCTCTTTTTTTTTTTTTTTTGGAAGACTTGCAATAATTATGAAAGATAAGGGCAATATTATTTAAAAAAATCTAAAATTTAGCGTTAGTCAAATGTCTTATTTTTCTAAAAATGGGAAGTCCTTATCAATTCTGGATGAACAACTAAACGATTGGACGTTTCTACATTTTTAAATAATTAATAATTATTTTTTAGGACAAGGCTCTAATATGCAAAAGTCAAGCTACACAAAGTCATGGTAGGTCAATTGTAAATATATATATATATATTTTTAATTGTAGGGTTTGACTAGAATTTTTAAAATCTAAATAAAAAGTAAGTTTAAAAGCACAACAACAACATAAATGCATTTATTTATATTTATATTATCGTTCTTTTGCCAGAAGCATTATTCTCATTTCTCATATAAAAAATATAAGCCAAATTAGTAAAAGAGGAGATGTAAAAAAAAAAATAAAAAAAATGGGTGGAGATACCTCTTGGAATTTGTATGCTATTGAGAAGTATTTCTTATTTATATTGTATTATATTCGTATCCAGTGTTTCTTAGACCTGAAAGGCAACATCATTCTAAATTTAATTAAAGTAAATTTTCACCAAAGGCTTTGATTAAGTAAAATTTCCAATTTTTTGGATAGTAAAATTTCCATTTACTCAGCTCTTCCTCTATTTTAGTATCTTAAAATTCTAATTTCTTTCTAGGTCTAAAACAGACTATTCACATATCTTTTAATTCCTCTTACCCTTTGAAAAAAAAAAAAAGTTCCAATCTTTATAGAGGCAAAAGCTTGAAACAATGCCACACAGTTGCCTCTGTTTTGTAGAGAGAGAGAGAGAGATGGGTGTGGGAAATCTGAAGCAATGGGCTAACATAGCCAAAGAAGCATTGGACCAAACAGTATTGGTAGCAAAGTTCTTCTGTGGTCTTCACATCACAAACACCTACCTGTGCACCACTGCTATGGTAACTACAACCTTCACACACTTTTCTTCAATATAAAAAGTTAATCAAATTGGTGGAAATGGAAATAATCCGGTGTTGCAGGTATACGGTCCCAGTATGCTCCCTACCTTCAATCTCATCGGTGATCTGGTCCTGGCCGAACGAATCTCGACCCGATTTGGTAAAGTGGGTGCCGGCGATGTCGTCCTCATCCGATCACCTGAAAACCCTAGAAAAATTGTCACCAAGCGCGTGACGGCCATGGAGGGTGATAGTGTCTCTTACGTTTTGGACCCCAATTTCGGCGATAGATGCGAAACTGTTGTCGTATGATCAATCACATAGTTTATTTTGATCTTTTTGTTTATGATTTTCATTTCTGTACTAATCCCTTTTTGCACACCACTTGTTTGTTTGAAGGTTCCAAAGGGACATATTTGGGTTGAAGGAGATAATTCATATGCTTCCCGCGATTCCAGAATATTTGGAGCTGTTCCTTATGGTCTTCTTCAAGGCCGAGTCTTTTGGAGAGTGAGTGTCTCTCATCTTTAGCTCATCTCGTTAAAAGCTTACAAGTGTTAAATTACTCGGTATCTTGGTTTACTTTTCTAATTTTGTGATCTTCGATGTGATCTTCGATATAAATGTCTGTCACAGTTAAACAACCTTTCATAGTTTATGTCATACTCTTGATTTTCTTTCTCATTTCTGGTTTCTGGAATAGTGTTATTCAATTGTAATTTGAGGTTATGCCCTCTACCTTAGCCTTGTATTCTTTCTTTTGGTTTGTTTAATGAAAGCTTACTTAGGGGGATTTTGTCTTATAATTATTGAGTGTCATTGGCTAACTAGCTTCTTACTAATAAGTTGCTAACATTCAATTAGGAAGTCATGTGGGCTCTACAACTGAATGCACAAGGCTTTCAAAACTTTTAAGTAACTTGCTACTAGTTCTATAAAATTATAAATCAGTTGGAGGTCAACAAAATATTTGGTCACAACTGACAAGCTTTTTACTTGATAATAATTGTTACTTGAATTAACTAGATGGATGCCAATTCTCTTGATACCATCTTGAAGTAGTAGTATTGTAGATTTTGACTGCTAGAATTTCGTGCATTTCACAAGGCAAACACCAAAGAGTAGCTTGACTCTTTATATAATGCTATGTTAGTGTTAGGATGCCTTTCTCAATCCCCTCATAATTAGGACACGTTCTTTCTCATGAGATCGAGAACTGTAGAAGTTATTAAACCTGGAGTTTATTTATTAATTTCATCAAATTTACACACCGAGCAATTAACTAATTGACATAATTGGAATCATTTGGATTGACATTTGGGAGTTATTAATCAATAACATATAGTACAAATTATTCAAGTTGAGTTGAGTGTCTTATATAGTTGTCCTAATCCTACAATATGCGATGTCAATTTTACTTTCCAATTTGTTTTGGCCTCTTTAGCGGCTAGGCCAATCCCATACCGTAGTGAATCTTATTTATTATATTCAAATTGAAGGGAATCACATGATGATTAGTTTGATTAAATAGGCCCTATAGGACTTTCATCATGGTTTATTAAAGACTTGAGTTGTAACTCAAGAGCTTGCAAATAGGGTTGTATTACTCTTGAATGAAATGGATTTCATAAAAAGTCATATTCTATAAATGTATTGTTAATATCTCTATCATATGTATATTTGGTTTGTTCAAAATATCATGTCTGTTTTTCAAATTCAATATAATTTCTAAAAACAGATTCTTTCTACAGATATGGCCACCTGATGCGTTTGGATCAGTAGCCCACAGATTGGAGTGATTTTTATCTTCTAAGGTACATTTTTGGGACAATTGATTTCATTAAGTTTCCATTTCCGGGTCTTGAAAATTCTTTACATGACCTTTTGCTATAGCCTTGTGTCCAAAATGTGGAAACTATGACCTAAAGGCAATGCTATGTTATTGTTCAATGTTAAAGGAAATATAGAAACAAGAAATAAATTTTCATTGTTTTAGTATTCAATTTTGTATGTCTCCCAGCACACAAATATGTTAATTTCTTTTCCTTTCTTGAAATGTCCTATTACTCCTATTGAAAAATACAGATAGATTCTCTTTTTATTAGTGGAATGTAATTGGTTTGTTGGTACTACGACTTTTGCAGTATCTAAGCAAAGCAATTTTATCTCACATTTGCTGTTTTGGTTTGTTTGTCTTCTACTTGATAAAATTATGCGATAGCAAATAAACTTAAAACAATAAGACCACATGCTGTTGATTTGATGGTGGCTTACATTATGGGAAGTTTGTTAAGTTGAAGTTCATTGTGGGAAGACAGGGTTGTAGACTTTTTAGATTAGAGGGATTGAAATTGTCACCCTTTAAAAGGTTACAAGTTAGTGGTAAGTCAAGTCCATATTCCTTACAACGTACAACACTAAATGTAAAAGCTAACAATAAGAATTGAGGGCAAGAAGATGAAAAAAGTAAAATTTAAAATAATTAGGAACATTCACTCAGATAGTAGTGCACAAAATTCAGATTTTCAGATTTCATCCACATCAATTTACATGGCACACTAGTCTCAGATTCTTCTGGAATTAAATTAATTAATTTCCCACTTCATGAGCTCCGACTTTTTCTTTTTCTCTTACTTTCCGGGGACAAAGTTTGTGGCATATGCCCAGGCATTGTTGTTAACTGGGTCAGCAAGGTGGTCTGCGAGGTTCTCCAATGGGCCTTTTCCGGTCACAATTGCCTGAACAAAGAACCCAAACATGGAGAACATGGCAAGTCTGCCATTCTTGATTTCCTTTACTTTAAGTTCAGCAAAAGCCTCTGGATCATCAGCAAGGCCCAATGGGTCAAAGCTTCCACCGGGGTAGAGTGGGTCGGTCACCTCACCGAGCGGCCCACCGGCAATACGGTAGCCCTCAACCGCACCCATCAATATGACTTGTGTAGCCCAGATGGCCAGAATGCTTTGGGCATGGATCAAGCTGGGGTTGCCCAAGTAGTCGAGTCCACCCTCGCTAAAGATTTGGGCTCCAGCCTTGAACCACACAGCCTCACCGAACTTGACACCGTTGCGGGCCAAGAGCTCAGGGAATACACACCCAAGAGCTCCAAGCATGGCCCATCTGGAGTGGATCACCTCGAGTTCACGGTTCTTGGCAAATGTTTCTGGGTCTGCCGATAGTCCAGCGGTGTCCCAACCATAGTCACCTGGGAATTCACCAGTGAGGTAGGATGGAGGCTCACCAGAGAGTGGGCCCAAATACAAGACTCGGTTTGGGCCGTACCATGCGCTTCCGGATGGGACTGGCCTGGTAGTCTTTCTCATGGTGATCCTTCCACCGCCAAGAAGTTCCGGGGTGGATGGAGAAAGTTTTACTGCCTTTCCGGCAAAAGATGGTGAAGACAGAGCCATTGTTGAAGCAGCCATTAAAGAAATGAAATAAAAAGTTTTGAAAGAAACAACAGTACAATGAAAGTTTATGGATAGGTAGTTGTGGCTTGAGTTTGATGGGTTTCAAGCTCTGTATTAATATAACTTGGAGGCCCCAAGGGTCCTTATCTTCGGAGATCTTTATCTTTACTCTTATTGGTTGGTTGCATTTTGAAAGGTTGACATTGGATGTCTGGTTGGCACTTGGCAGTCTCTACACCACTCACCAACCTTTGGACTTCTTCAGAGATGCCATGAAATATTACAAGTTTTTGCATCAACCAATGGAGGCTCTGCCATTATGTTATCGGATATTTGCTACATCTTAATGGATAAAGAATCAATAACTCGCAGCAGCATTGTGATTGATATTGTCAAATGGATTAAGACCCAGTTATATATGTGGTAGGGAGTTATCCTCCAAATCTTGTGATGGACTGTTAGCCACAGACACCTATAGAGTGATATATATTGATAAATGGTGAGATTGGAACCCAAAACCATTTGATAGAGGAGATTCAAGTTATCACTGAGTACCGACACCTATAGACTACGAAAGGTAGAAACCTGCTTATGAGAAAGAGAATCCGAAATAGAAGGAAAGGGACACTAAAATAGGTTAATAGTTGTCCTTGGATTGTTGGTTTGAATCTTTGATGTATGAAGGGTTAGTTTTATCAGGGTAAAATTTTCAACTTTGGAAAAAGGTGATTGTTAAGTTTGGGGTTATAAATGAATCAAAGTGCAGTAATTTGAATAATGGTCTAAAGTGTGGTGTTTGGAGAAGGATTTGTTGGGGGGGCGAATAGGGGTCATTGCTTGGTGCAATGATAAAAGCTCGTGCTGACACAATGATGATGCAAGTCATTTTTCAAAAATTCTTCAGTAAATCAGTTCAATTTGAGAGTTAACTTTATGTAGCATTATGTTTGATGTTAGGTCTGTCTCTATTCAATTTGAAGGTCAGATCTATTACTTGGTGCTGTCCTTTGACTCATACCCTCACTTCTCATCACTATGGAAGCTTTTACGATGTTCAATTATTTAAACGTTTATGCTTCCACGGTATATATTATTTATGAATGGAGCAGAAGCAGGGGCTGTCGATCAATTGACACATCCTTCTGAGGAAAACGAGCTCAAAACAACATGTTATTCTGAATATTATCAATTTCTTGTGAATTTTCATATGAGATTTAAAAACTTTACATGTTCTATGATCAAATTCATTTGATGGCTTAATACTTTACCGTAACATGTTCCGAAATAGGCTGCAGACAACCAGAGAGGAGCTAAACATGTGGATGCTCGAGCTTTCTCCGCTCTGACTTAATTTGAGATGACTCTCAAGCTTGACTTTCTTTATTTTGGTCTCGTGTTGGGTTTGCCTTTTTCTCACATGAATGGAGCGAGTCACATAAATTCTCTTTTTCTTTTATATTCTGTATACATCAATATTATTTAATCTTTTGAATTTATTTTTGATTATCTTCAGGTTAGTTTTGGTTGGTCTCGTTGTCTTTTACCTTTTATGCAAGTTAATCTTCCTTTTCTCACGGGCACATTAAAAAGTTTACTTTATTTGTTCATACCGGCTAAGTTTATTTTAAGGCGGTGTTCTTAATTTTTCATCACAGTGGTTTTTTTTTTTTTTTTTGGGTGTGTAAATATTGCCTCTGATAATCTGTTTTTCGAAGATTATCATTTCTTGTAACTTCTATTCAATAATATCATTTTTTTTTTTTACCAAAAGTAACATTTTCATTTCTATTACACGAATGTGTTGTTTTTGTTTTTGTTTTTTAATATCTAACACACCCATTCAAGAATGTGGTATCAAAATGTAAATTAAAAAACAACCCATTGTTTTCCTGGCTTCCTGGGATAGAGGAGTGTCAATTTAACCCACTCTCCCTTGTTATTGGGATGGGTTTATGGGTTTGGGAACCTTATAATAAGGTTAGGGATGAGTTTGGGAAGATAATTTAAAACTCTTCCCACCCCAACCCCTAATTAATAATAAATATATAAATAAATATTTTTTTTTTTTTGATAATTTTAAATTTTAACAATTTTTTTTTGACAAAAACTTATTTTAAATTTGTTGAAGTTTGTTTGCATTTTTTCCACCATATATGTACAACGGAGTGTTCAGAACCCACGACTCTGCAGTAGCACAAGATTGGAGGGCGATGGAAAGTAGTAATTTCAACGTAATGTCAGTTCTTAATTTCTTATTAATGTACATCTTTCCAATTCTCTTATTAAATTGATGAGTTGTGTGTATTAATTATTTTCCATCTTGGGATGGAAAGGAGTAATTTTCATCTAACAATATCTAAGGACGTATTTATATGATAATAGTAACTATTATGAAATTTGAAATTTTAGAGAAAGATAACTAATCAGAAGAGTAGTCATGAGTCATGACTATAGAATTTATCATTATCTATACAAAAAGAAGGAAGATAATTAAATAATTAATTAAAAGAATTACAGAATAGTCATCACATTTAAGTAAAAAAAATAAAAGGCTAGTTTAGAGGTTTGATTTTTAATATATGAATAAACTGTTGGAAATATATAGGTTTCATGTGATATTTAATATTTAATATATAACAAATCTTAGACTAATATATGTCATGTAATAATTAATAATATGTTAAAGAAATAATTAAATTAAATATTTAACTTAATATTTAATTAAACATGCAAAATAATGCAATAAAATTAACAATATTAAAATAAAGAACCTGAACTAAGGCTAGTACTTGATATTATGTTCTTTAAGACAATTTACACCCCATATAGTGTTGATGTACTACTTGGTGTTTGTTTATAAGGATACAATGGTCTACGTCCATCAGTAGCGAACTCCTTGGTGTTTGTCTTTCGGGATACAATGATTTACATCCACCAATAGCAGCATTTCAAACTCGTGGATATGGTGAACCTCTTTGTGTAACATTATCTCTTACTAAAAAATGTATCTATACTATATAAATAATGAATTGGGTGCAATCCAAACCAAATGGCTCAGACCGATTTTACTATGACTTAATGAAATTGGATTAAAATCTAAGTGACTCGGACCATTTGACATATGATTTGAATCCATTTGGAATGGATTCAAATCTAGAAAGGAAGAGAAGAAAAAAGAATTGAACGATTTTACAAATGACAACCTGAGGGTATTTATAAAGTTGCATGTGTCTCTTCATTACCAGACACATCCTCTCTAATAAGTTGCAACTATGCTTATTGATTGAACACACAACCATTCACAAATGCACCTATCCACCGCATCCATGGTTGATTTACTACCAGTTACCAACCAACGTAATGCATGAGTTTATTCTAAACATGTACCTCCGTAGCCAAACTCACAAGGTGAACATGATTCAACATTCTCAATCATCAACTAAAGGATAAGTTAAAGGATCGATAGTGAACACATCCTTTAGTAATTTAATATATTTACATTGCATAGGCTGACATAAATGATAAGTTAAAGGATCAGTAGTGAATACTAAAACCTTTATTAATTTAATATATTAACAATACGGCATAGGCTGGCATTCACGTTGTAATATAACGTAATACACAGATAATCAAAGCCATATGCATGTGCATGCAAATTTCATTCACATATCCCAACACAAACTAAGTTGGAAGATCATAAATTAACACTGCATTTGCATAAATCATTGGATTTGAAATGAACATATGTATTATAATTCAAATGATTTCCTTTAAGATTTCAAATGACTTCTTGAATTAATGTAATCATTGCATAACAATGTAAAGTTGTTGCATAAGTGATGTAAAAAAGTACACAACAGATACAACTAAAAATGACATAGGGGAAGATCCAAATTCAAACATACATTTGTCAACAAAAAATGTTTCAATTTGTTCTAAATCTCAACCAATCAATGTCTCACGAGTACTTTCCTTTTCTTCTAATGTATAGGATTCATTTGTGTTGAAGGATTTGAATGAATCGATTTAGGTCCTATTATGATGTCGTCTTACATTACTGATACAAGATGAGTACAGATAATGTCACAACCTAGTAATAGTCGAAAATGGAGAAGACTTTGATCAATATCAATATATCATTATATGTACCTAAATATCTAAGAAATATCAATCACTTGCCTTGCAAATATATCATTCTTCACTCAGGAGATATTAGTATGGATGCTACTTCTAATAATGACGTTTATTTTTTCATGTTAGAATCAATGGTTTTAAGATATTTTTAAACACGTGTCTGATATATGTTGAACATGTTTATAATTTGTAAAAATAATTATTTTTTGACAAGTGGTACATGAGCCATACTTATTAAATATATCCGCATCATGTTAGAATCTATATACTTTTGAAAATGTAGCTAATGTATCTCGAACATGTGTCCGACATATTTTGAGCTTGTCCATAATTAATAGACAAAAATATTAGTACTAACGTCACGTTTTTTTCATTTCAGAATAGATAGTTGTAAGATATATTAGAACATATTTCTGTTATATGTTGAACATGTTAATATTTTTTAAATATGATTACTTTCTGACACGTGATACATGAGCTACAGTTATTGAATATCCACTTTAATCATATTAGAATCAATGCTTTAGTTATAGTTCTGAACTCGTGTCTAATTAATATAACTTGAATGTGTTTATAATTTGTAAAAATGATTACTTTTTGATCACACGTGACTACACTTATTGGATATCCACTTCATGTTATGATCGATGCTTAGATATAATTTTGAACACTTGTCTAATAAATCTTGAACGTATTTATAATTTGTAAAAATGATTACTTTACATGAGTAACGCTCTATATTTACTTCCATGCTAATGATAATAACTCTCTCATTTAAAGAAAAAGATAATTCTTTCATTTCAAATTAAGTGTCGTCATTGAGAACCGTGACTCACATTTAGTTCACAGTGACGACACTTAATTTAGAACGGCGGAAGTATAAAATTTTATGTGTGTATATATACACACATATCTGACATACAAATATATTTGGTGCTCTTAATATATATTTTCCTGCACAACAAGATTATTTCATTTTAGAGTAACATTTTATGAATTCTACTTGGTATGAAATAATATTTGTTGTACATAATAGACACACCTTTTATGGGTAGTCAATTTATTATTATTATTATTTTATTTTTTATTTTTTTTTCTGTAAGATTTTTATTGTTAACTTATTCATATTGTGTCATATTCATGCACTTTGATGTTGCATGTGATGAATATGAGTCTGTATCAATGCATTAGACATTTTAAATCTCTAAATAGAAAGAAACATGCACAATGCTAAATATTTATATTATTAATAAAATTAAATTATTAAATATATCTTTTAGTACATGTCTAATTAAAAGTGTTTGTTACATATTTCTTACTCATGTCTCAAACTTGTGTTCGATCAACTGTACTTTATCATAGGTAAAAAATGTCATTTTGAAATCTTTATTAGGAAGTATAATCATACATGGTAGGGAGACCACTCCAATAGGTAACTCCATCCAATATTTGACTGGCATATAAGGTTCACATGAAAATAATCCATAAGCATTAATGAGATTACACGTGAATATGTGAATTGGTTATTTCTTGTCTTTGTTATTTGATCAGCGTTACAAAAATGATCATATATATAAATATGTGCTTGTGAAAGCTATTTATCATTCCATTTCCTTTCTTCTGCATTTTCCATCAAAATTTTTTGTCATGGAGAACAAGCGAACGAGAGGTCGTCAAAAGATTGACATGAAGAAGAGAGAAAACGAAGAAGATCGCCTCATAACCTTCTCAAAGCGCCGAGCCGGCCTTTACAAGAAGGCGAGTGAGCTCTGCAGTCTCTGTGACGCAGACATTGGAGTGGTCATTTTCTCTCCAACTGGGAAACCATTCTCATTTGCTCATCCCAGTATGGAGTCCATCGCGAACCGGTTCTTGAACCGCAACCCTCAGCCAAATGAGAATGCCTCTCAGCTCTTTGAGGCTCACCGCAGGGCTAGAGTCAACGAGCTCAACGAAAAGCTCATTGATCAGACAGCCAGGGCGGATGCTGAAAAGGAGAGAGAGACGGTGCTAGAACACAGTGCAAGAGCTCGCGGAAACCGGGACTGGTTTGATGCATCCATTATGGATGGGTTGAACAAAGAAGAGGTTGATAGATTGAGTGCACGTTTTTTGGAGGTGAAGATGATGTGCAACAACAGAGGGAATGAGTTGGCTGCAGGGATGGGGGCCTCGTCTTCGTCCTCTGCTGCTCCGGGAATTGCCGGACCAAGCCAGGGTCCTTCTACTGCTCCTCCAAGCTATGGCTATGGCTATGGTGGCATGCAGTGACTTCTGAATGAATATATTAATGAATGTAGAAGTAAATAAGGTTTTTATATGACCATAGTTATTTAAGTTTGTGTTATCAGTTAAATGGTTTGAAGTTGCGCTTATGATGTGAAAATGAACCCTAGATTTATTGTACGTTGTGTTCAAGATGTTAATAGGGAAAATTAATGAAATCTAGGGTTTGATCTATGTATCTCCATTAGCACACCTTTAACCTACTTCTTTACTTAGTAGCTAGGTATGCTATATAAATTTAAAAAAAAAAAAAAAAGAAAGTATATTTACTGCAGTCCTGTTTAATTAATTCCTCTTTGATTTTTTGCTTTTTGTTCTCCATAATTAATGTTTTACAAATTCTGTGATGTTGTCGTTAGTTAGGGTGGGTTACACAACATGAAATTAAACATATATGTAATATATATTATTTTGAACAAAGTGATTATTTTTGTACTATGCTATACTTTTCAATACTAATAAAATGTCTCAATTAAATATTCTAAAATAGACGTCAGGAAGTTTATATGCTTTGGCACCGAAAAGAAAACACAAGTTACTGTTGTGTTGGATAGCCAAACTATCCTTGGTATTGACCGAATATAAAATCAACCCTTAGTGAATTAGACGATTATTGGAAGGTAAGGATGACCCATTCCTTCAGGTTCTTCAACGCCTCAATAAAGAGGACTTTCATCACTATAAGTAGAATAGATGAAAGGAGTAAAACAAATTATACGAGTATTCATTTATTTTAAGAGACTTAGAAAATAAAAGTAGAGGGGACTAATGTCAAGCGTGGACTTTTATTTCATAAGTAAAATTCTTATACAGAGTACAAGAAGTGGAATTCTAACACAAAGGCTACTTCTATGAACAGAAGTAAAATACAATTAAAGAATTGTATGAAATTGCAGAGAATGAAAAAAATTGATAAAGAAAATACTACATTGTAAGAAAATGCGTTGTGTTGGTCGGGGACTTTTTGCACAGACTCCTTCTGTCTCTATTTATAGAGAAACCTTGTAGCAACAGTTTTCTTTTTAAATTCAAATATCATTTGAATTATAAAAACTACCTTTGTCTTAATCTTATCCACCATTATTTGAATTATAAAAACTACCATTGTCTTAATCTTATCCACCTTTTACCTTTTATCTTAAATTTATCCAAATAAATCGTATTGTGAAATAAAATTGACGTAGACAATTTATTGACTTTAGACTCCAATTTTATATAGGAGTCCTATTTAATAACACGGTACATATCTTCTTCTCCAATCAAACAATACCATGTGTCTAAATTAAAAAATTTATTTTTATGGTGCAAACAATGCCCCCCGACCCCCCCCCCCCCCCCCCCCCCCAGCTCTTTGAAATAAGGGCAGACTGAAATTTTAAAGAGTTAAATTGAAGGATCACAATTTAAATCAGTCACTCTTATTCGGCCCTTTGCATAACTAACCAGTCCCTATATCTTCTAGCAATTCTTCGATTGCTTTTCCGATCAGCACCTTATTGCCGTCAGCCCCTTTTTTTATTTCGCTTATAAGCAATCTTTCAACCATATCCTAACTACGACACATTCACTATACAATCGTTTTGAGTACTTAATCGATTGAGGGACTGATCAAACCTTACTATCAACGTGACTAGTAAGTGGTCTAGGTGCAAGATTGAATTATGTAGAGGCTGATTGTGTTTAGCCCCCGGGTAATTTCCAATCTCAGCACTAAATTGTTGACATTTGCAACCAAGATGTATATATTTGGCTATCAATCAACAACTCATAATTTTAATTGGTTACAATAACCAATTCTTCTTTGGTACCCCAAGTGGTTGAACAACCTAATGAGTCCTCCCGGATTGTACGGAAATTCTTTCGGCCTCTTGGGATTTCTTAGGGCCGAACGAGTTGCCCCCCAAGTCCAAGTAAGCCTTGGTTCAAAATTATTTTGTTTTTCAGCCTCTTTTGGTGTCCTTATGATTATTGAATTCAACACCTGAACACCATTAACCCTTTTCAGAGGCTTTTTCAACACTCGACATATGTAACGCTTGATTTTTATCAATTCTGCAGCTTCAACTTTAATGCCACTTTCAGCTTTTGTCAAATGATTCTTATAAGTAGGATCTTTGACATAATTATTATTCGATACCTCTGTCACATGAATTTCATAGTTTGGGTCCCTATAATAGGTACCCCTAGAGGCATTCCTTTTATCTTGTTCTTCTTTCGGAACCTTTTCATATCTTGTAGCACTAGAAGCTAGTTAGAACAAATCCCGAAATTGCATTCCCTCGAATTTCCTTCGTAATTCAAAGTCTAAACCATTCAAAGCTAGACTCACATATTCTGTTTCTGAAAGGGCTACTTGGCATTTATTTCTCGCACTTTTTAACCTACTAATAAAGGCTTTAGCCGTCTCTCCAGGCATTTGGGACAGCCTAGATAAGTCAGCCATCGATGCCTTTGGTTCGGTCTTATAAAATTGGGTATGAAACATTTCTTCTAATTGTTGCCAAGTATAGACCGAATTTGCCGGTAAACTTATATACCAAGAAAATGCGGTCCCTTTAAGGAATTAGCAAATAACCTTAATTTTAAAAATTCATTTACTCTAGCTTCACCACATTGAATGTTAAACCGACTAATATGTTCTATGGTCGAAGTGGAGTCTTCTCCCGAAAAGGTAACGAAATCAGGAACTTTATAGCCTCTTGGAAACTCATATCGGTCTATATAACCCGGATATGACTTCCTATATGTAAGGCGACCAACTCTTCTTGGGGATGGTTCATAAGTTTCTTGAATTAAATTGGCCAATTGATCTCTATCAACCATAAGGGATTGATGGTTTAGCTGTTGTGCTTGAGGCTGATGCATATAAGGTGCCAGAGGATGAGGCACATACGACACCTGAGGCTGAGGCACATTCGGCGCCTGAGGTTGAGACACATTCGGCGTCTGAGGCTGAGACATATACGACGCCTGAGGCTGAGGCGCTGAAAAATTAAAACCAACATTAAAATTATCTCGCCCTTCTTGAGGCTGACATACCTGCGGTTGGTATTGATAAATCAGATTAAGTGGTGGCCATTTCACATTCTGATTGCCCCATCCAATTAGTTGGTACTCCGCTGGTGTCTGATGTTGCGGCTGATTAGCCTGCGATTGATTAGCGTAGGGTGGATACTGTCCATGCAACAGCTGTAACCCTTGCCGCTGTTGTTGGTCGTAATTCTGTTGAACCCCAACAAGCACTGGAACTTGTTGTTGTGCATGCAACAAAGTATTCGTAGTATTTGACCGTGCCATAAGGTGTTGATCAAACCGTATTGATAGGACAGTCAAAGAGTTATTCAAATTAACCAATGTGTTATAGATTGGCTCGGGTGCTCCATAAAAGGTACGGCTGGAAATTTTCATCCGTTGCACTAAATTATTAATATTTTCAGCCAACATCTGATTACTTGGCTATTGATTTACTTCGATTTCAGCCTCTTATTCCTAATGTTGAGGCTGTTTCTCAGGCAAATTTTACAACTGAGACCGAGTAAATGGCATAGATTTAGACGCTTTCGGTGTCCCACCGGGCGTGCCAAATTGTTTGGCTTTTTTTTTAAGGGCGTGCCAAAGTCTTTCGATCCAAGGGGTTGGATAGCCAAACTATCCTTGGTGCTAAACGAATATAAAATTGGCTTTTAGTGAATCAGGCGATTGTTGGAAGGTAAGGATGACCTCTTCCTTCAGATTCTTCAACGCCTTAATAAAGAGGACTTTCAGCACTATAAGTAGAATGGATGAAGTGAGCAAAATAAATTATACGAGCATTCATCTATTCTAAGAGACTTAGAAAATAAAAGTAGAGGGGACTAATGCCAAGCGTCGACTTTTATTTCATAAGTAAAATTCTTATATAGAGTACAAAAAGTGGAATTCTAACACTAGAGGCTACTCCTATGAAGTAAAATACAATTAAAGAACTGTATGAAATTGTAGAGAATGAAAAATATGGATAAAGAAAATACCACATTGTAAGAAAATGCGTTGTGTTGGTCGGGGACCTTTTGCACAGACTCCTACTGTTTCTATTTATAGAGAAACCTTATAGCATCAGTTTTCTTTTTAAATTCAAATATCATTTGAATTATAAAAATTATCCTTGTCTTAATCTTATCCATCATCATTTGAATTATAAAAACTACCATTGTCTTAATCTTATCCACCTTTTGCCTTTTGTCTTAAATTTATCCAAATAAATCGTATTATGGAATAAAATTGCCGTAGGCAATTTATTGACTTTAGACTCTAATTTTATATAGGAGTCCTATTTAATAACACGGTACATATCTTCTCCTCCAATCAAACAACACCATGTGTCTAAATTGACTCATTACCAAGCAATTGACTGATAAAATCAATTTATCTCTCTCTCTCTCTCTAAAACTCACACTTATTGAAATTTTGTGTTTTTAAAATCAATCTCTTAATTAGGAAACGTTTCAAAATATTTAGTCAAAGAGTTGAACGAGGAGCTTATTCTCTTTTAAGTGTAAAGAAATATTGGAAGGATGAATCAAATATTCTTAAAAAGGAGAAGATGCATGTTTTTCTCTTCTTTTTTTTTTATTTGGTTGAGAGTGGAAAGAAATAGAAGGAGGTGATAAATTCCATTGTTTGATAAGATTGGAAGATAAGGAAACTGGACATATTTTTATCAAGAAAAGCAAAAAATGATTGACAAATTTTTTAAAGGCATTTATTGAGGAGAAATTAATTATCATATGATCCTAATCAATAAAAATAATCCGCCTAAGTAAAAAAACAAACACATTTAGAAAGTACTTCAGTATAGTTATCATGCTATTTTGGATTCACATAGGGCCTATTTAGTAACGTTTTTACTTTCTGATTTTTACTGTCAATTCCTGAAAATAAAAAATAAAAATAAAAATTATGTTTATTAACATATTTTTACTTTTTTACTTTAAGGAAGTACTTTC